AAAACTTGGAAAAGCATTTAGACACCTTCATTGAAGGCATTGATGAGTGTATTGTTCTTGGTCAATCTTTTAATTTCTAGTATGATAACTAGTCTGTAATTTTATCTGGAACAATGACACTCTTGTAGACCTTGATTTGAATATTAATCATTTTATTCAAGCTGATGGGTCATGGAATTGCTCAAGAATGTTGAACTGGCTTTACTACTCTATAATGAATCGAATCACTAACTCTAAACCACCTTGTGAGATGAGAGGGAGAGAAAAATTTGTGTGGAAGCCATTCACTGATAGCTCTTTTAACATACGATTTGCCTATGATTTCCTTTCTGCAAGTACAACACTAGAGAAAGACAAGATATGGACACAAATATGGAAGTAGACCATTCTTGAAAAAAATCAAAACCTTCATCTAGCTGTTAGGAAAGAACAAGCTACATACAACAAGCTTGAAGGCGAAAAGAAGACTTGCTGACTCAAATTCCTGCCCTTTTAGTTGTAATGAGGCGAGGGATGCAATGCACATGCGCAATTGCAAAATAGCACAAGATGCATGGAGATGAGTCGTGAAACCGAAGTGTTGGTCTAAATTTATGCAACAAAGTTGTCTAAATTAGATTAGATGGAACTCAAAATGCTCCCTTAGGAGAGGCTATACATCAAGACTACTATGGACTACTCTATTTGCTTATATGTGTTGGGATATCTGGACCATAAGATGCAAAAAACTCTTTGACGGGCAAGACAAGCAAATCCTACAAAATTCAAGCAAATGCTTCCTCAAAGCTTTGGTCAACCAGAGATATGTTGCTAAATCAAATTCCTCTCAACTCTCTTCTGTTTACACCTATTCTTGGCATATACCTTTACAAGGAGCTGTAAGACTAGATGTAGATGAATCATCTAGACTCAAAGGAATAGACACTTGTAGAGGTTGCATAATTGATGATAGTTAGGGGTGGATAGTGGATTTTTGTTGCGAACTTGGTAACTATCTATCGTCCATTGCTAAATTGTTAGGTATATATAAAGGCTTACAACTTTGTTGGTCAAAAAGATTTACTAGCATTAAGGTGTACTTAGATAGTGTTGAAGCCATAAATCTTTTAGCCAAAAAGCAACATGAAGATCACCCCTATCATAAAATCATTCAAACTACCTGTAATTTACCTCTTAAAAATTGGTTTGTTTCTATTAATTGTGTTTCTAGAGATCTCATTAGCCATGCCCAATGTAACATTCCGAAATTTTAAGACTCGGATTTATAAAAATAAAATAAAATAAAATATCTATAATTAAATTAAAATTTAGAGTAATTTGATAGAGGTCCAGAGTTTGAATTTTTCTAAGCAAAAGTTTAGTTTTATTTGATTTTTAACTATGGAAAAAATTACCAAAGTTGACCCGGGCTTTTGTGTAATAATAAAAAATGTTGGGCCATTTCTTGTAATTTTTTCCAAACTTTTAGATCAGCTTTTATAAGGAAAAAGAGACGCAGAAACGCAGAGAAAGGAAAGAAGAACAAAACGCAGAGAGAGAGAGAGAGAGGAAGAAGAGAAGAGAAAGGGAGGGAGTTAGGCTTGGATCTAGGAGTCTTTACGACCGTTGTGAGCTCGGCTACATGATAGGTAAACTCCCTACTTCAATCCTCTTCTCTTTCTCTTGATTTTCTTCAATTTTTGGAAGAGGAGATTTTTAGATTTTGATTCTAAAGGCTTTATTCTTATAAGCCTTTGTTTCTTTAGATCTTAGGGAGCATGTTTTGAGTTTCTATATAGTGATCTAATATTTTGAGTGGATAATTGAATGAAAAGAGGTGTTTTGGGCACAAAATAAATCCTGAGAAATTGGGTTTTTGCTCTTCAATGGTTTAAGCTTATTGATTTAGTTATAATTTTGCTATTTGAGCCCAATAAGATTTAAATTAAGGTTTGGTTTTCATTATAAGGGCTAATGGTGAAAGTTGGTGGCACTAAGTAAAGGTTTTTAATTGATTAAAAATTTTATATAAATTAAAAATTTAGCCTAATGATGGCTAATAAATGGTTTTGGTGGTTAAGTGATACTATGTGAATGGTTGGTTAAATATATGGACTATTGGGATGGATTATAGCTCATAAACCCAAGTTGTATGGTATGAGTTATAGTCTTCATTGATGCTATTTGTCATGATAAGTGATGTGGATCACTTATATGTTGTAGAAAATTATTAGTGGAACTTATTGAGAAGTAAGGAACAAGCCGAGCCCTATTTTGTACAAGGGGAACCCTTTTGGCACCAAAGGGTTGAGGTAACAGGGGAATTTATATTTTTTATTACTTTTTTTAGCTATTTTTGAATAAATATTACTAGTTATCATGCATTACATGTTTTAAAAGATTAAATGTGCTTTATAAGGGGTTATGGGGTACTACTTTGATTATGGTGCAAATATGTTTTCTAATTGTTTAATAACAATGTTTTTATGGAAATGAGATTTATAAATATTATACTACTTTAGAGTGTTGAATGGTCAATACTCAGGAAAGGTAGACAAGAGTAAAATGCATGATCTCGGTGGGAGTTCACCAATGAGAAGGTGTGGATTTTTAATATTCTATGGCACACTGTCAGTACTCAGTGTTGTTTTACGTATTGTGGGCTCAGTGCACTAAAGTGGTTAGTGTATTGAGTGTTCGACACCTCTCAGTGGGGGAGGGAATTCAACATATGAAGTGTGAGGTTGAGTGCCTAGGCCAAGGTAGCCCTCACATGGAAAGTAAGTAGGGCTGGCTCTGGGAGTGAGTTAGCTTTAACTGCTTAGGATTCACGTCGAAGGGGCATAGGAGGTTTGGTGGATTAGATCATGCCTTAGATTATGTTTTGTGTCTGTGGAGGTACAAGTAGGTATAAGGTTTACCTGCGAGTTAAAGAGTGCCAGGGGGCATTCTGTTGGTCATGAAAGGCCATACCGGCCTAGGTCATGCATTCATGCATTTTAAATGGCTAAATTATATACTATGTTGAATTTATTATTCGTTTATTTGATTATGGCTTACTTTGTAATAATCAATGTAGATTTCACTGTTACTGAGACTGTAGTTATCTCACCCCTTTCTTTTTAATATTCTAGGTCCAGACGAAAGATCCAGTGGTGGACGGGGAAAGGAGCAAAGCTAGGGGTTTGCTTGTGATTTGTAAAGAACTGCAACCCCTTTCTTTTGAGCAAATATATTGTAATGTATTTAAGATTAGGATGCCAGTAGGATATGATTATGTATGTGTGTGTGAATATGTGTGGATTGTGTGCTTGTGTATGAATTTTTGTCTGTTTGCAGACTTGTGGCTAAAAAATTTGGTTATTGTGTGTGGTTTTGATGGATTTACTTAGTAGACCAAGTTTCTATTACAAGAAGATCTTTATTTTGATATATATGTGATTTTATAAGCAAATGCAAAGTGGTTGCATTGCAAATGGTGTGCTATGGGCAAACATACACCTTGGATAGAGAGAGTGGGTGCGTGGGCCCCACAAGGAGCTCTGAGCCAAGTGAAAATGTTTAGCATATGTATTTATATAAACACATGATATTTGGATTGATTTGTGACCACTCTTGTATGATTTGTGCATTTTGGGGGTTTAAGGTCCATTTTGGGAAATGGCACCCGGGTGGTCAAATTTTGATGTATAGAGGTTTTCCATCATTTGAATGTTCTATCAGGTGTTTTTAATCTTATTTGACGTGTTCAAAGTGTTCCCATAGGTTTGTGACCATTAGGATGAGATTTGGACAATTTTGAAAATGGTTTTTACCAAAAAGCTGCACTTTTGCATCCGGGTGTCCAAATCTTAATCCGACCATTGGATTTCTCTAAAATTTGGGTCACAAGTAAAACCTTTTATAAGCTTCGTGTGGGCTTTAGAATCACGTCGATCGGATATCGGACGGAGAAACGACGCACTTCGGAATTTGGTCTGGAGGTGCTGTCATTGCTGTCATGACAGCTACAGTGTTGATGTTGTAACCTGCATAAAATTCAATCAATCCGTTGAATCTTTTCAAAATTTAGTATGCTAATAGTATTCTTTAAAAGTGACATGTGGGCTTTGGAATCACTCCGATCGGAGATCAGATGATGAAATGGTGCACTCCGGAAGTTGGTCCGGAAGTGCTATAACAGCCAAAATAACCAATTTTTTAACATGTCTAATTTTTAATCCGACCGTTAGATCTTTTTGAAATTTGGTATACTTATAGTACCCTTTGAATGTGACGTGTGAGCTTTAAAATCACTTCGATCGGAGGTCGAATGACGAAACGGTGCCTCCTAGAAGTTGGCTCAGGAGGGCTGTCATGACAGCAATTTAATGCTGTCATGATAGCATCTTTTTATTTCACTTTCGTTTAGCTTGCTTCCGCGTGCTATAAGTAGAACCTATAAATTTTTTTTTAAAGGCTTTAAATGGTTTGTTTTCTAAGTTAGTTTTAGGATTAATTCCTTAACCACACTTAATTTATTTGAATTGTGTGATTTTTGGATAACACTCGGGGCAAGTGTTATACCCAAAACCTTGCTAGAGCAGCACATTTGTTGGAAAGCCCTTATTATATTTTTAATCATCCCCCACCTTTCATTAGACTAGACGTTTGATTGCTTGTTTGGGCTTTTTGTTTTTGTTTTGAATGATGATCAGTTTTTATTCAAAACAAAAATTCATATCCACTTGACCAACGTTAAATCGGTTACTTTCCATGTCAAATTTCTCTAAGAAAATAACCGACAGTGTTTTTTTTTTTTTTTCAACAAGCCAGCCATCATTGGGCGCTTCTGAACCAACAGCCCACTTACCCTGGAAGCATGAAAGTTAAAAATGAAGCTGCCAAAGATCTCAGGCTGACCACCAACTTGCAGCCGAAAAGCAGAATCCCTTCGCCCAGCTTGAAACAGATAGAAAATCATTATAGAAAAATCACTATACTTGTAACTCACAAGAGCACAAGCAAACACTTGTCAGAAATTGATGCTCAAGTCATTGCTTACTATAATACAACTTGTAAAAATCACTATTACAATATATGCATAAAAAATGGTCAAACTCCAGGTAGTAAATGGCTGGCATTCCAGTTGAACTAACTAAACATTGAGGTGTAAGAAGATATTTGTGATTTCTGATGGAAATATATCATATAACATTACAATTGCCAGACTAGACAAAAGAAAATAAGATACAAAAAAAGAAGGTAAGGAAGGGCAAAACAAAAAAGACGCCCTCCTCCATAAGCATAGACTTTACCAAGAGATATGACCTCCGCATAGGCTACATATATTTGCAATATGACTTGGCAAGTAACAGCCATCAAAATCTGTTCTGAAACTCATTGTCAGCCTTCCCATGAATTAGTATGTGCCTATTCTTTCGTGTTGCTGCCCTAATAGTAGTTCTGAACTTTGCCTTTCATTCCTTCAATCGTTTACTAGCAATGGAATAGTTCTTCTGAATTTTGTCTTTCATTCCTTCAATCGTTTACTGGCAATGGATTGATCTAATCTGAGAAGAAAGAATGAGAGTACTTAACATACACCACATATGAAATATTAACTACGAAAACCAAGCTTGTGTTAAAAAAAAAAAAATCAAATTCAACCAAAAGGGAAAAACTGAATGGTGTTTTTCTTTTTGGAAAATATTTCTTATACATCAATCCAGAGCATAGAATTCCTTAACCCAAAAGGAACAGTAAGCAGTGAAGGATAAAATGATAAAAGTATTGAAAGGAACCAAAAACAATATAAATTAAATACTTCAGAAAGCTGTAATATGAAGGAACGGCACAAACAGAAATTGAACAGTAAATTCATATGCTGAAGTGATGCTTTCTTTCACACTCCTTAATAGGACCAATCAACAACCAACAACAATTAAGTAATTGTCCTATCTCCAACCCCACAGAACTAGAAAACCCTCTCTTTTATTTCTAGTTAAACCATAAAAAGAAGAAAAATAAAATGGCACTAATAATCAACACTTTATAAGTTACCTTGGTGAGCTGGCACGTTTTTCTAGTTGTGGATTGATTGCACTAGCTACTGAAGAGATCCTAGTTTCACCATTCAAAGCCTGAAAATCAGGGCGGATTAAGTTACCTTGATAACTACTATGATAAGCCAGCAATTACAGACCATCTAATACATCCAAGATTTTTCTTGCACAGAATATAGAGCCCACATAGGGTCACAAATATCAATTGATTGCTTCATGTTTACCAATTAACTGAAAAAATGACAATGTTGTAATTAAATTAGGAGCATACGATAGGAATAAGACTATAGGCATAATTAACTACAAGGGAATACTTGGATAACGGGCAGAAACCAGGGACTGACCACCAAACCCTTACCTTTCAAAAGGAATTTAAGAACCCTGTCTAAGGCAGCAGTAGCAGACGTGAAGCCAGCTCACTCCACATTCAGTGACTAAGCTCTCACACATCGGTGCTATGCAAATCCATAATACGAGTGGTTTCTCTATACAACCACTAGGCCTCATCAGGAATTTCTAGTCCACATACCCCTTATCCAAGCATCACCTATTTCCTTAAACAAACAACTCAAATCAACTACGAAAAACATCAGATATCCCCACCTCAGAAGCACTTTCTTTAGGCAGCCCATCTCCTAGCAGTTCACTAGATTCAGGATTGACGTCATCCCATAAGAAACCATTTTCATGTCCAAGAGAGAGTTTGTCAAATTCTCTGTCGACAGCTCCAAATCTAGGCTCCATATGTGCAACATACTTCTCTGTAATTTCCATATTAAAAATATTGCATTTAGAACTTCAAAACTCCATGAAATAATTACTTTAAAAACAATGATTAAACAAGAATAAAACAGGTTGCATTAAAGAATCAACTATCAAGGGTTATTCTAGCACAAAGGAGTTTTATATACCACAATTTTAATTGTTCAACTCTCTTACAATGGTCACCAAAACTACATAGCACTAATTTCTTCAATGCCCCACATATATGTACAAAAATATTCACCTTGTGAACCAATTAGTTTTTTGGTATTCTGGACAGTTCAACCTTTAATACATGAGAATGCTAAGTTAAATACATGCACAATTTAGTCAGCAGATAGAGCAAGATTTTATTAGGAGATACTAAAAAAACTGAGTCAGCTGCCTGCAGATGGTGTCCTTCAACTTGGGACACACTCATTTGTTCAAGATGCTTCAATGAGTAAATCTCACAAATCACGTAACTAAGGAGTCTCTAGAACTGTTTTATTTGCATAACCAGTGGACAAAGGGAAAACTCAGACACTCCTGAATCCTGATCAAGCAAAGAGGCAATGCTCCCTATATGTCCTCACTAGTCCAATAAATTTCCTACCAAGTGAAGCAACGGTTTCCTATTTATCAATCTCAAAACCATTTATAAAACAAGAATATTCCTGTATGAGCATCAATTAAGTTCCTTGCTACCAAAATATTCTATATGTTACCAAAATTGAAGAACAGCTCAAGGAAATATTATAATCATAACAAAATTTTGACTTTGACCAACACTATTAAGGTTTATAAGAAAATATTTTCACCTGCTAGACTGCGGAGGGCATTCTCAGCAGCTTGTTGTTGTGCATCCTTCCTTGTCTTACCCATTCCAGCACCTATTTTCTCACCAGTGAATAGTACCTGAACAAAGACATCATAGAATCACGAGTCCAAAACTACACATGAAAGCTGTGGAGCAGATTGAGGATCAAACGAAAGAGAACCTATAACATATGCTACATAAGGCCCAAATCATAAACTAAAATAGCAAAGAAAATGCTAAGAAAGATAAGAAACTGAAATAGTGACCAATGGTGAAGCACTCCACAATGAAGCTTTTAATAACAAACTAAGCGGACATCTCATAATCCTAAACAAAGTTAACTAAAGAAAACATAGTGAATACACATTTTATGAGAAACTATACAGATAAGAAGTGGATGATTGGACAAAGTGAACTATGATGCTCATTGATATTCAAGACACCAGTGACACCAGGCAAAAATTCCACATGGCTCAACATGGATGATAACATGATGTCAATCAGACTTGTAATTCAACAGCTAGCGCTTGTTAAGCCAATCAATCTTATATAACATCATGAAATTTTATAAAATATGCACCCAAAAAAAAATGATGCAATGTAACACAATTATTCATACATACATAAAATGTTCCGAGTTCACTGGAAAAAGATATATTAAAAAACAATTTCCACTGACCTCCATTGAAAACTGCAAGTCCTTGCTGGTGCTGACAATGGACCTAAATTCAACCTACAAAAAGAAACACATGAAAAACACTGCCTGAAAAAACAAAAAATTTAAAAAGAAATTGCATGCAGAAACCACATATACCTTAGAATTACATCGCCTTCCAATTTCTTGCAGAACTCCAATAGATAGAGCGGGTAACAAGTTCAATTTTCCCACTTCACTTTGAAATTCTCGGTTATTGGGAGACATGTGATCCTGAGATGCGCCATCCTCTGCAAAAGAAGAAAAAAAAAAAAAAGCTTCAGTCAGTAACATAGCATAATCATCAACATCAAAAGTCATCAACTTATGAAATTAGATTGCCACTGAAAAGTTTGGAAGAAAGCTTGTCAGAAGGATTTAGCCTTCTCTGGTCCCAGAAATTCAACTTAGGGACAATTAAACATTTTTAAAGGTCCATACAAAAAAATATAGAAAATAACAGCCAGTATACCTGCAATAATAATCTTGTAAGATATGAACCCTACAAAATATCATGAAACTATAACAGAACCAGAACCTCCTCTCACGTTTCCCCCAATTTTTAAATTTGTCTCATCCCCAAATGAATTTTCCCACACAAATATAAGAGAAACTTGTTCACTTATACCCAACTCAGAAATATGGATATGAAAAAGGGAAAATGGATCATACAATTTACAGTAAGATCGTGAAGTTTAAGCAAGTAAAGCAATGAAAGGTTAGAGAATAGAATGGATGTCAAAAAGAGATATATGGTATAAAAATTGTACTTAATGAAAGACAAGCCAGATTAAAATTCTTTAACTTCCTCTAAGGTCAATTCCTTACACAAATGGCATTTTGCTATAGACTAAAACAGCTCTTCTCATTTGGATGGATTATTTAAGATCACTTTCCTTACAATATCAAGGGCCTCTCTTTTTTTTCTTTGGAAAGAGCCATTTGGCGCCCTTGGTGTTAAAAGAAATACATAGTTCATAGTAATAATAGACAACAGACGAGACTCAAAAAGGTGTTCAGAAAATAGTTCTGATGAAATACCTGCAAGCAGGGATGGAGATGAAAGAGTTTGCCTATGCAAATCACGGGCAGAACTTGCCTGCATTAAGAAAAAATTGACAGAAGCAACTTTAAAGTACTCCAAACAACACACAACCACCATTGAAAGCAGGAAGCAATATACTGTCCGTTGACAAACCTCTTCACCCTTCCCCTGTGATGCTTGTGAGAATAAAGCATTAGAAGCTGAAACCGGCATACTCAGAGACAAAGGTTTCAGTTGAGGTTGATGCCTTTCAAACTTGACATTAACAGATACAGTAGGTCGAATGTTTAGCTGAACTTTGCTACTTATGTCATCTTCTATCAACCTGCCTCCATGTGGGAGCATTAAAGATGGTGATGCTTGAGTGGGAAGCCTTGATATAAGAGGGGGTTCACCAGAACTTTGAATTCTTATATCTGGAACATGCCTCGTTGTTAATAGTCCCTTTTTCATGTCATAATCATGATTAACAGAGCTTCCTTCATTCTTGACTGCAGGTCCAAGCAAACCAGGCTCTAAGACAAATAAAGAAGAGCTGCTGTGAGATAAAAAAAAACAGCATATATTTTCAAAACTAGAATACGCAAGTAACATACTTTGAGAAGGAATGAAGATGGTGGAAGACATAGGGTATATGGCGTTTGAAATTACACCAGCAGGTAGCTGAGAGGTTTCGGGTTTCAGCTCGACATTATTGATCATAGATCGAGTGGCCAAATCAACTGAAGACTTCTCATCCTGTAAAGGGTGACAACAAGACAATATTAGTAATGTCTATGATTATTTTCAACCTTATGAAGAATATCAATATTCTGCAGCAAAAGACCCATCACAGGCAAAATTAAGCAATCTCCAACCAAAACTATAAAGTTTTATCGTAACTTTCAAAGCATGCACCTATAACAGAGAAACAAAACACAGATATGAAAACCTCAGAAGCTAACAGATTGGTTTACCCTCTGTTCAGCTTCTACACCATTTATTCCTTCACTGATGGGGGCGTTCACATTACCATTCGGCATATCCTGCCATTCAATGAAGTTGTTGATGTCACAGTAATAAATAAGCAAGCATCTCACAGCAGCAAAATAGCACCACATAGTTCAAGGTTTGTTAATCATCACCGATAAACTAAGAAAATACATTACAGTGACATACCTCAGACATCAAGTAGTTACTGACATCTGGAGGTTTTGGTAAACTTGCAACCTCATCTTCATAGAAGATTTCAGAAATTCTTTGTAGTAAATTCTCATCAAACTCTCTGCCCACAAGTCATAACAAATTAGAGCCATTGGAAGAAAAACATTTGAACATGTAAAACAATTGTAAATAACTTACTTGAAAAAACAACCTCTGACATTGCATGCAACATTTCTTGCTACACACAAAACTGGAACAGCATTGGCTGTCTGAAAATGCAACAAAGAAAATATGATGTTTCGATCAAGTAAGACTAGAAAAGTATTTCATTTGCAATAAATAAGACAGAACCTCTGCCTGTGGAGCATAATAAGGAGTAAAGGCAGGAACTACATGAACCCTGGGTTGGTCCTTATCTTCCCAAACCTTTGACCGGTCATCAATCACCATTGCCATTTTTGGATGGCACATATTATGTTGGAAGACATTCAATAAAGATTTTCGAGAACCTACAAAAATCATTAAAATCAACGGTTTACAAATTTTCTTTATAGAATTTTGGCAACCCCATCCCCAAAGAGATAGGTACGTATGAGAGAAAAAGGGAAATGAAGATGAACAACAACATCATGAAGAAAGTGACCATTATGAGAACCAGAAACATGACAAGTTGAAGAATGAATCTGAGCAACTTTTAGTTGTCACACAATCAGTCAGAGCCACTTACGCAATTTATTTTGAAAATGTCATGAGACCCAAAAGTATACAGAAAGCAAGATATAGTTTCCTCTTGAAAAAACATAACTTTAGATCCCTGTATTTTACTCGCATTTTGCTATTAGTCCCTGTATTTTTTTTTTTCAGTGTTTTTGGTCCCTTACTTTTGTTTTTCATTATTTCAAGGACCTAAAGTTATGTTTTCCCTTTCCTCTTTTATAGAAGAAATATTTTAATGTTGCAACGAAATAAGCATCAAGAAAGGCAAAAGAAAGAGGACTTGCCTGATTTGACACAAATTACACGATCTAGAAGTTGCTTTGAACCTATAAGATGTTCCCCAGGGTCAAGAAGCCTCCACATTTCATAGGCATAATCCCTTTCAGCCATGGTACAAACATATACTTCAAACCGTTTCCGTCCTTTTGCTGTTAAGTAGCATCTCAAATCCTCCCAAGCAGGTCGTAACCTTACTAGAACACTAGTATCTCGAATCTAAGTGAGGAAACAAGTAAAGATTACTGTAAATGTCAAAAAACTTATATAAGAAAACGCTTCTAAACAATTATACCACTTTTCTATCTCTCAAATCATTCCCAGAGGGGAGAGGAAGAGTATAAAACTAGTAAGTCTAAAATATGGCGTAAGAAAACTTGAACCAAGAGAAACTGACCTACAACATAGAACTGGTAAACATTAACTTTAACATATATTGTAAATTGCATTTCATTCCTTCCACCTCTATAATAAAGTGTATAAAATTTCATATTCCAAGGTTTTGAAAATAAAGCCCCAAAATATCTAAGAAAGCTCAACATCAATCTCGGATATGTAAAGGTAGCCTTCAATATTAAACAACATATGAATCTATAATCCAATATCGCTGATAAGTAATAACTGTTCACAGAATGATATTTTAATCTATCAGGCTCTGGCATCGCTTTGGCTGTTACGTGTTCTTAATTTCTGAAAACAAGAATTCCCTTTTATGAGTATTTCTATGAATCACACACATCAATGAATTCCGTGTCCCAGCAAAAGGTATGTTTTCACATTGTCGAAGTTGACCTCTCTATAAGACTGTCCTCAAGTCTCTCAGAGAAGAATCCCGAACTCCCTGGTCCTGCTCGTTAATGAGCATTTACTAATTACAATTAGCTCTCAGCTCGTGATCGTGATCGTGATCGTGATCGTGATCGTGAATCCTTTCCATAAAAATCATGAAGTCCAACATAACAACATAGACAATGATGCGTGGATAAATACCGTCTGTATAAGATCAGAAATATAACCTCTGGGTTGATGCGAGTGAGGACTATATTCTTGTCTTGCAATCTAATGACAGGCCGCCGAACAACTTTCTCACGGTTATCAGACAAAGGAGGGACCTCTTCCAGTTGAACTTTGAATAACTTTCCATTATCGACAACACAGTCACCTTCCGCGTACTGCTTCAAAAGCAAACGATCATCCATGTAACGCTTAAGTTCCGCAGACATTCCTGCCAGTCGCAGGGGATCAGTCTCACGAGCAAGCCAACTTCGCAGGGCCTCAATTCTATCTTCAAATGACTTCATAGTATTTGCAACGATGAGGGTCTCGTCCAAATCAAACACAATCGCAAGACACCTTAGATTCAACAACCCCAAGCATGCATTGAATAGACCCACAGGAACTGAGTAGCACCAGAAGCATGGAAACTTCTTCCTCTTACTTGGCATAGCAACCAAGTGAATTTCTTCATCCCCAACCAATGCCACCGCCGTCTATTCGACCCAAATCAAAACCAAAATCAGAATCAATGCATCACCACCTCACTTATATAATTTGAAGTAGAAATTAAACGGGAAATAATTAAAAGGAGTTAAAGAGACAATCAAAATTCATGTGCTACCGAGAAATCCAACCTGGTTGACCGAATGACAAAACCTGAATCTTCAGTCATTGATGTAAAATGCAAATGTCAATATTAAGTTTATATTACTAATCAACATTTCCTCATGAGCAATCAAACTGAATTTCAGGAAAATACCAGTGACAGAGTAAAATAAAAGAAAAATGCATTTGGCTGAAACCTTGAATTCATAAAAACACGAAGCATGAAGATTGATCAAATGAGGTTGTTCGATAGGCAGTGATGACTCGAGCTTGCATCGAACAGAGAATGCAGAAATAGTTTGGAGTATTGAGAGTGGAGGACAGCGCTCACTCCTCGGCGATATATGGCGGATTCGAATCTCGTTGTTTGGGAACTGGAAATTCTGGCCCTTGACGGAGATAACATCCAGTTCCCCTAACCGCAAGTCACCGTGGTAGACCACGGATTTGAACCCTAGACGGTTCATCTGTACTAATTTCGTTTGGAGTAACAAAGGGAGGTGATGCAGAAAAAACTCGAACGCAGATTCAACGAAAACGGCAATACGCAGAGAATGAGAAGTTCATGAAAATTATTTGGAACAATCATCTAGTCTCGTCCTTCGCTTGTAATCCCCCTCACCATCTCCCACTTAGAGTCTCTTAGAGGCTACTCTCTCTCTCAACTCCCTATCTCCCTCCCCCACTGCGGTTTCAAACCACTGAGCGCTTCTCCTGTATTTATAGGCGAGAAGGGTCCGGTTAACCAAGAAACGTGGATTTTCATTTCAAATTACAAAAATGACCTCCTTCCTGTTCTCCATCTACTTATTGCCATTTTTTTCCTTTTCTTTTTTTTTTATTGTTATTGACCATTTTACACGTTTCCCGTCCTTAATTATTCAAAATAGATTGAAATATAATATGAGATTTGATGTTGTGTCATCAATAATATGGCTTTTATAAATTAGTCTGACAGGTGCAACGTAGGAAATGGGCAAAGGATATGTCAAAAACAAGGGTTAAGGTAGAGAGTTTGATTATTTTTCCCCGACAACTAGTCTAATAATTAGTACGAACTTGGCATTAACTGTTTTATCTTATTGGAATTGTGATTTCATGAAAATAAATGTATAGTCTGATTAGATATCATTGAATGATTATCAATAGCAATAATCAACAATGTTCCTTTGTTGGCCCAAAAAAACAATTCTCTTTAATTTTTATTTGCAGGCCCAAAATATGTTGCAATTCCGAATTCTGCCAATGGCGATGCAAATTACTTATTTGGACAACTTTTGTTGTCCAGAACCTTTTTGGACAATTTGCTACTTGATAGTAGAGCCGTCAATTAGGGCTGAGCCCGTAGGGTCAGTCTTTTTAGGCCTAAAAAAATTGAGAGTCAGACTTCTATTTTACCTCTAAAAAAGTAAATTGGGCCTAAAAGGGTCAGCCCTTTTAAGCCCGAAAATAAAAGGGCTGGCCCTTTTAGGCCCTTTTATTGTTTTTTTTAAAAATTATAATATAAAAAAAATAAAAGATTAAATACATAACTCAAAGAAATGAACATATTAAATGCATTTATCCATCCTTCATTTATTTATTAAGATTTGGCTGATAATATTAGCTAAGTTTGATTTCTATTGATATTCACTTTGATGTTGCTATTTGATATTAGACCTAAATGTTTTAGTTTTTTTTATTGTTGTGGTGTAAATTAATTTAAATTTATTTTTTTAAATTTAATTTTATGAATAATAACTTTTTTTATGATTATAAATATATTTTTTATAATTTTTAATTAAAAAAATAATTTTAAAAAAATAGGGCCGAGGCCCTAAGGACCGGGCCCTTTAGCCTTAAGGGCTAGGGTCGGGCCTTATAAAATGAAACACTAACGTGCAATGGGGTTTATTAGGGCCAGCCCGTTTAGGCCCTGGCCCTTCAAGAGCCGGCCCTTTAGGGCTGGGCTGACCCTAATTGACAGCTTTACTTGATAGTCGATGGATGAAACGTTGTGGTTTTTGTTTTTTTTTTACAACCAAAAAAAACAAAGAAAGAAAGAAACTCGAAACGTTTAGCATGAATGACTCTGTCGAAATATTAATTTTAACTCTTTAAAACATCGGTTTATTTACTACTCGTATAACTATAATAAGGATTAATTTCATGCAGATCTTCTTTAGTTTGTTATTTGTCATTACATTTTTATAATAACATAATCTATATGAAAAATTGAACAATGTCTCTTTAAAAGATTATATTAAGAATGTAAAAGTCAAAAGGTAAGCTTTTTTTTTTTTTTACATAATTCCGTTACGGATGGTTTCTTCTAAATATATTATAGGATTAAAATAAGTTATTAGTAATAAACTACAATTGAATCAGGTGAACGAAATTAATGTCCTACAAATAACGCCTCAGGTTTTAGAATTAAAAAAGACATGTTGAAAAGTTAACTTCCATTCATGGACAATTGGGAAGTACTGTAATCCAGTTTGTTAATGCAGAATATGTTATAGTTGTCATAAGAAAAATGAGTTATTGATTTAATGTGTAAGGATTCAATTTGAAATGAGTTTTAATTTCCATCATATTTAAAAGCAAGATCCATAAAAATAGGATCGGTTTTGATTTTACTGAAAAATTAAAGCTTAACAAATTTATTGCAAGGATAATAGATAAATGGATTAGCTTGCCAACAAGTCTTATGCTTGATTGGATAATGAGAAAATATAGCTTTTAACCTTGAATTTTTTTTCAATTGCCGATATAGTTACTAAATTTTGGATCAAAATGATTCAAGTCTTACAATTTTTTAACTCAAAACGACTTAATCCTTCTAGCTTTTTTGACTTAACATAATTCAATCCCAACAATTCCAATAAACTTAATAAATTATAAGTATTCAATTATAATGAGTCAAAATTTAAAAATTAAATTGATAATTGAGAAAAAAATATAAGAATTAGAAGTTACAAGAAAAATACAATAGTAGATCATTATAACTTAATTATGTTTTATTTTTAGTTCCAATAAATTTATTTGGTTGTTCTCAATCCCTTTAGTTTGCAACATTATCCTCTGTAATTTTAAAAGTGCATATATGTGACATTGATGGAAACTAATTACACAAATATGTGCTTGACTCAATTAACCATTTTGCCAGCATAGTAAAATATATCGATACATAAATAAATTGATCGGGTCTGATAAAAAATAAAAGGTACGAGAAAAAACCTTTTTTTTATTTTATTTAAATGGAATGTGAGAGAGATAGAGGCAAATGCAACCAGGGTAGATAACATCATTATCTAAAAGTCTCAATCACCGAAAGACAAAGCTGACGCAATCAATTACCAAAGTCTCAATTATATAGTTGAGTATAATTTAGCGAATTTAACTCTGACGGTGCTAACTTAGGGTCATAATACACATTTTTAAGATTACCTTTTCTTTATTTAAAAATATAAAATATTTTTAATTAAATTTAACTCAAATAAAATAATTATTTATCTTTAAACTAATTTTATTTTTTTATATTTACTTCAATTTAATAAAATATTTTACTCTAAAATAAATACAAAATAGTATATTTGTAAAGATATTTTTGGAGGAAAAAAAATGTAACAATTATTGATTCTATTTTAAAATATTAAAAATGCTTTCTATTTTTAAAGAGATGGAGTATAGATTGACATTGTAAATAAATCAAATTAAAGAGACTGAAAACAATGAAATAAAACTATAGAAATTAAAAATAAAATATAATGAAAATATAGAGACATACTATTATATTGGCAAAATTATATCATCCTTTTAATATTATTTTATATATCGTTGCTTTCAGGTGAGGTGGAATGGAAGGTGTAAGAAAGGAGGGAAAGGTAGGAGAAAAGCCGTTTGGCTTGATGGAATTTCATTCCCTTTTCTCTTTTGTTGTTTATCAACAAAACCAAAACAAGACCAATACTTGCATGATGGGGCTTGTGTGTGCTTCGTGGAACTTATAGAATCATTACACAACACATTCTCCTCCACTGATGCACTCTGAAATAACTTGCGAACACACACACACACACACACACAATTATAGAGCTAGTTTCGAGAGCAAACTCTGATATGGATTTAAGGGAAGAAGCCGGATTAATCATATATAAATATTGGGGAAGCCTTCCTCTGTGTTGTGTATAAACCTGATCAAAACGAGCTCTAAATTATCATCTTTTCAAAACAATTTGAATTTCAATGAAAATGAAAACCTTCTTTACCTCCCTCAATCTAAAGCTCAACAGCACACGTATATACATATTACTTATGTGTAGTTAATCAAACGTGTGGGATCATTGCTTAGCATCCTCTTACCTCTTAGTCAAACTATTAGATTAAAGTTGGGGGACCCAGTGGTTGATAATGGATGACAAGTCAAGCAATTCTAAAGTTCGGACGTAATTAAGGAGATTATAGATATGAGCATCTTGACTTGAATCTAGTGAGACTCCGACTTTGTTTAAAAGTAAGGATTTAAATGGAACTGCACGATAAACTCTAGATTAATATATTTTTATGAAAATATTTTACTGTTTTAGAATCATTATTTTAGAATTTATGAATGCTTAGGCTGATCTTGAGTTAAGTCAAAATTTTACTTCCATACTAAACAGAGTCGTGTTTTAATTGTATTTTTTTGTAAGAGGAGTGAATTTTTTTTTTGGGGTATTACGATTAGATCGAAGGAGGAAAAAAATAACTAACACTTGCAGGAATAAGTTAAAAAAAAAAAAAGGCTCCTTATTCTTTAAACAAATTTGAAACGTTATAGAAAGGACAAATTATTATAAGAAAACTACCATCATTCAAGTTCTAATAAATTTTGGATTTGAACATTTAGTAATATTAAATATTAATTTTTAAAAAATATTTATCATGACATGACATACACCTGGAATACATGAATTCTTCTTCAATTAAATTATATATTTTTATGACAAATATATTAAGAAAATAAGAAAATGAGAGTGCCGGACTGTGGCCATCTGCAAAACGTAAGCGAAACATCTGTCATGCAACTGAAGAACATTCGAGAGGGGGTGGGGACAGCGAAGCAAGACGTGGCGCTGTGCTATGTCCTGGAACTCTAATCAGCTATGCATAATTCCACATTACGTTATGACGTGGCATTAAATGACTCGCTAGCTCTATCTAAATTTCATTGCTTGGCACCATTTCCCAATAAGAGTCCAGTCGTTGTCGCTTTGAAGATAGATTCGACCGCATTTTAAGAATTTCTGCAGAACTAAAATGCAATCACAGTGGAACTCGAAGTCTCACCATCGACCAGCACGGAGAGCTTCGTGCGAAGTCCGGGGGGCCCGGTCATCGGAGAATTTCAAGCCAAGCAATGTCATCCTTCGGAAGCTCTAACTGGCCGTTCGGGGAGGACGGCCATATCGGTTTCGATCCTCACTTCCAATCTCAGCGCTTAGACTCGTTCTCCAACTTCGATGCCAGCTCTGCTGGTGATTCGTCTCTCATATTCGGCAACCAGTCTTATGCAGCCGGCGACGATTTTTTTTCGTCTCGGCCAGTCTCGGAAGCTCCTTCTCCGCCATCGATCTACTCCGCCGCCGGCGTATACACTACGTTCTCGCCGGAGCAGAGTGTAAAGGATCTCGATTCTGATTTTGGTGCCTCTAATGGTCCGATCTTACCGCCTGCAGCGGACATGGAACCTGAAGTGGGATTCGCCCTGAGGGAATGGCGAAGGTAAGCTCATGATCGCTGTTCTTTGCTTCTTATTGGTGTTCGAGTCCAATATAATTCAGTCTCCGTGTATCGGCGTATGAAGTTGTTGCATGTAGATGATGTGATGATGGTTTGTTTCGATGGGCAGAAAGAACGCAGCTGAACTTGAAGAGAAGGAGAGGAAGGAGAAAGAGCTGAGGCAACATATTATAGAGGAGGCGGAGGAGTACAAAATGGAGTTTTGCCGGAAGCGTGAGATTAATGTTGAGAACAACAAAGCGTCAAACAGGGAAAAACAGAAGGTAAATTATTTCACACACATATATTTCCTAGAGTTTTCTCATATGATCTTCTGCTTGTTATTGCGTTGCTGTGATGAACTTCAAGTATTTCTTAATCTAATTTTGTTGAAGACATGCATATTAAGACTATTTATGTCTGCTTTACGCATTCCTGTGCAATGTGCGAGTATAATACGAACTCTCTGAGTTGAGGTGTCAAGTTGACATTTTATACAATTATTTTATGTAGTTATTGTAACTAATTGTAAAACTACTTAATATTTATTTAACCGTATTTAGTTAGAATAGTTTTACTATTCTCTTATTGCATTATTCATGTATAAATACTCTCCACCAGTGTATTCAGTGAAGCAATATATCAGTTTTCACCTCATTTTAGTGTCATGGTATCAGAGCCTAGTTAGAGTAGTTTTCCAATCAGTTATAGTTATTCTGAAAACACAGCCTTGTTCAATACCTTATCAGTTTCATTATTATTTGATTTGAAGTTGAATTGCACCGATGATTTCATAGCATCGCCATCCTTGTGAAGACCGTGAGGTCAGTGAAACCTCTACGAGGAAGTTGGCATCTTTCTATCTGTCACCCTCTCAAACTTTCATTTCTGTTATATGAGAATTATGTTTTAGAACGACATATCTCCAGACTGCAGCTCCTTTAATTTCCTATATTGTTATGTTTTCCTCCTTCCTATTTTGTCTCTGCATACGCACTACTTCCACCATCTCTTAGGTAGTAGTATTAATATGTGTTATTATTATCCTCTCAACCTATAAGACAATCTCCACCAGCTGTGTAAATAACATGACTGCGTCAACTTCAGGCTTCTGTCTTAAATATAATATTTACTGTTGAATTTGACACAGCTGTTTCTGGCAAACCGAGAGAAATTCCATGCCGAGGCAGAGAAAAACTACTGGAAGGCAATTGATGAGCTTATACCTCGTGAAATGCAAGCCATAGAGAAAAGAGGGAAGAAGGAAAAGGAGAAGAAGCCTTCCATTGTAGTGATTCAGGGGCCAAAGCCAGGGAAGCCAACTGAACTTTCAAGAATGCGCCAAATTTTGTTGAAGCTCAAGCATAATACTCCCCCACATATGACGCCACCCCCATCATCAGAACTGAAAAAGAATGCTAAGTCCGGGCCTCCTGATGGAGCAACTACACCTCCCAAGGCTGTGGAGGTTGTTGCGGCAGCTTGAGAGGGTTGCTGCCTGCTCATTCTATGTGTGAAAATCAGTATGTCAAGTTTGTGACCGCTAGTTTGTGAGCATCTTGGTCATGGGTGTGTGGCTGTGTATTATGTTGAAAGTTAAAAATATCCATGTCGATTTTGGTTACTTAATAATGTATTGGTATTTTGTTTGCTTCTGGACTTTTATTCTGGCTGTGATCTCCTGTGCTGTGTGGCCTGTCTATCTCAATTTTTTTAGTACAGCCTGTCTATCTCCATTGTCTACTGCAATAGACGTATTTTTGGCCAAATACTGCAATAGATGTTATTGCTGATAGTATGGGCTGCTTTGACCGAGGTTTGGGCATCAAATGTTTTATTGTGGTAGGTTTCGGTGACCAAGTTATAACTCCTTATTATCACTTCCTGGGAACCTTTTCTTTTTCTCATGTGATTTAAACTTTTAAGAGGATTTCATGTAAAGAGAATATTAGTAAAATAATTGAACCACCGGTATCATCAAACATATTATATTTTTAAAAAAAATTTGTTATACTATTAAGGTTGAAAAACAGTATGACCCATTTTTCAAAATCTATGATTTAGTTAAGGGACATTTTTATTTTAAATTATATTTAATAGGGTGAAGTTAAAAATTTATTAAATTAATAAATAGAGTTAATGAGTTTTAAAAAAAAAATTTCAGTTCTGTGGTTTTAAATAGTATGATTTAGTTAAGGGAAAACATAATTTTAAATTCATGTACTTTGCTCAAAGTTTTATCATGAATCAATGCGCTTTTTTTTTCAGTATTTTAGTCTCTATATTTTTATTTTTTGTTATTCTCAACCTCTCCATGAATGATGTTATAAAGATTTAGAATACCAAAAAATAGAAATATGGAGACCTAAAATACAAAAAAAGTGCAAAAATTTGCAGTAAAATATAGGAATTTCAAGTTATGTTGTTTCTTTAGTTATAATACATGGGAAATATGTTTAAAATATAGAATTAAATTTGCTACATATTTTACTATTCATAGTATTGTTAAAAAATGATTTTTAAAGTTTACGTGAGTGATAGAGACTATTATCATTTAAGTAAGTGATTGAGAGTTCAAACTCCAACCCTTGTATATGTAATAATTTAATTGAGAAATATTTACTTAATGCTCTCAGTATCTTAGAGGAAATATTTTTTATTATCAATAGAACCTACTCGTTATATTTAACCAAAATAAATTCATTGCAAGATTCATAAAAGTGGAAGCATAATTTTTAATTTCTAAACTTTCTTTTAATTATTGATTCTACCCGATATTTGATTTATTATAATTTAATCTTTTTAGTTTATTAAGTTACGAAATTATATAGACTAGATTGTTTCCAGCCAAGAAATGATAAGGATTAAATTGTTTAAAATTAATTTTTTAGGGATTGGATTGTTAATTTAAAAAAAAAACAGAAATCAAAAGTTATATTTCTCTGTCTTGAAATATAAATTCCCCCATTTTAACCGTAGACTTATAGAACAGAGGAAATAAACTAGCAGCCAGAGCAAGCAATAGGCACCTCCACCAGAAGGGCAAAAAGCTTTGATTCATAGAAACAAAATTCCATATTGATGGAGTGGGACATAGTGGAATCATCATTGTTTACTTTGTTATGTGATAATATGATTATATATATATATATATATATATATAATTGAACAAGTGAGGCAATCAAAGTTCAAAGGGAACTTTTTGAACTACGATAACATTAAAAAAAAAAAAAACCTTTATATCCCAATGATACGTGCAGAGATGATTTTCAATCTTTAAGATACATGATGTCATCCAGGTTTTATGTTAGGCCGCTGAATACTTCGTTAAAAATAACAAGTACAGAGTAACAAGACAAAAACATAGAAGGGCAGAATCTAAAGACACAGGAAACTTGATCATCAACATGTAATTGTCGAAATATGACTCCACTATGATATGGGAAAGATCCTTAGTGTAAGTCACTCGTAATCTTTTCCTTTTGCGTATAGCCATTGCTTTTGTTTGAAGTGTGGTCATCAAATTCAAATTATCATTGTTACTACTCACTCATTGCTTTTGTTTGAAGTGCTTATAGCCATTGCTTTCTCAATGTTACTACACATGTAACAATCAAAATAATCATTGTTACTAGTCACCAAGCCAATGCCATGCCAAACTCGTGTAAAACCATAATCAGAATGCATCTAAGTGCCTATAAAATGGGAATTCCTTCTTGTTCTCTCTCTCTCTCTCTCTCTCTCTCTCTTTTGGGTTGAATTCCTTGTTATTCTAATCCTCTTCGTATCTAGAATACTCATGACAAAATCTACCATGCATAGAGAAGTTAATTGGCAATATGCTAACAAAAGAATGGCCGATCTTGCCATGCTCTGATTTATTCGACGGTTCTTGAGGTTTGGGGAATATACAGGTGATCAATCCAAGAGTCAGCCATTTGCTACAAATAAATTTAATACACCATAATGCCTTTTTCATCTGTCATAATTCTTGATGTATACCAAGGGTATGAAAATACCCTTGTTGGAAGAGGCAAGACCTATTTCTGTAATCTCTCTGCCTCGAAAGGGATTAGTCATTGGCTTGTAAAAACCGTAGAAAATTCATCTAGGAAGCATCTCTGTCATGATATCAGAACGACCAAACTGGTTCAAGCTTATGTGCGAAATTTCAGGTCTTTTAGACTTATCCACTTGAGAAGTTGATGTGTCTTCCAAAAAATTTACAGCTTTTCTGGAGGCATGATGCCACCTATGAACTTCAGGCCCTGTCAAAGCCTTGTCATTAAGGTGAACTTCCTTGAAGAGCATTTCCACAACTTGCTTCATGGTGGGTCTATGATGAGCAGCTGCTTGGGTACAAAACAGAGCAACCTTAATGAAACGCATGACCTCAGTCTCATCATAGCAAGTTAGTTCTGGATCAACAATGTCCAGAAGCTTATTTTCTTCTTTCAGCTTCCAGATCTGCCTCAAGTAAATTCTTATGTCAGAAGAAACAGATATCATGTGTTTTCAAGCAAACAGTGAAAGACACACGGCAACGTGTTATGAGTCCTGACATTCAATGTTTTATGCTCTTTTCTTTCACAAACAACAATTTTCTTTTTTTCGGTTATATTATGAAGGTTTGAATTGACCACTAACCCCACCTCACTCCAACCTTTGTGCATGAGCCTGTCATAAAATATCTAGTTATACTACCTCCAGGTCTATTTATAAGAAACACTTGATAGTTACAATTTAATTGCAAGTGTTTCTTATAAATATGCCCTGAGGTAATATGTAGTTATATAAATGTAACTCAAAAGACAGAAGAAAAATATAAACACGTTTCGTCAACCTTTTGTCATTTGCAAATATACCTTCCAATTTTACAAATATAAAACTGCCCATTTAGTTTCATTTCGTTCTCATGCAAGCCATTCTCTATTTAGGCAAACTTATTACTTTTGAACCAATGAAGACATGCCATGTGACAAGGGTGAAGTGGCCTTTTTGTTAGCAAGAAAAAGACAAATGATTTTGGATGTCAGAAGGTGAAAATTTAGAGGCTAACTTTTAAGTAAGTGGAAATGAGTGTTTGCAAATGATCTAAACTTGAAGCATATCTTTGTATTTTCCTTAAAATAAATTACTTTTCGAGTATTATACAATATGATACATAAGAATTACACAAAGATGTCATTTAACTTAAAAATATCAAAAAGCATCATCAACAAACAACTCTGCAGTTAACTAGTAGCAGGAGGAAAAAGCCCGAGATGGAAATGATCTGTTCAGTACAAAATATACAGACAGAGAGACCAAGCCATGTGCAAGATTATAGTAGGACCAGGGAAGGAAAAAGAAAAAACAGTTGATTTGTAAAGCTACATTAGCCAATATTGACAAATTATTTTATCTCTCTTCAACTGTCTCTTTTTGGAAACTAAACAAGTCAAATTAACATCCCTGCATTTCTCAGAACTAATTGATACATAAGAGTCAGAAATATACCCATTCCACAAGAACCAGAAGCTTTTCTCCAAATGCAGCTTTGCTACTGCTTCTACCACTAATTACTTCAAGCATGAGGACGCCAAAACTGTATACATCTGCCTTTTTCGTAAGCTGTCCTAGAAGTGAATATTCTGGTGCAAGATATCCCCTGCAGATATAATTTTTCTTTTTTTTTTAAGAAAAAGTCAATTTGAATGGTGAAGCCAAATCCCATAGAATCACCAAGAGCAAATCATAAAGCAGTTTGGAGATATCCATTACGCATTTATTAATTTATCCTAATAAAGATAACGTTATGGATAGAAGTAGAACTATTTTTTTAGGGGAGACTTAGAGATAGAAGCTTTAAACTTCTCTTTTCATTCCAAGCACAGTTACCATTGTTAAATTGCTTTTAATGTCTAAACTGCTGTTAATCACATTTCAACTTTAAATAAGTAACATGCTGCGAATCAATGATAAGATGATTGTATTACTGTATGCTATGGATATATGAAGCATATTACTATATCAGACAACACTACTAATCCAAGAATGAGAGCAGACATGCTCATGCAAGCAGCTCATAAGCCTTCGTGTTGTCTAAAAGGATTCAAAAGAAACTGAAAAATTTATAAGCCACTTGCATTTTCTTCTCTTGAAATGAATATTTAAAGGAAAAAAAAGTCAAATTCAAATGAATTTGGAGAAGAATTTTGTTTCTTTTCTTTGTTTTAAAGAAAAAGAGACTGATCTAGCTTCAAAATAACTTTCAGAGGGTAACATAAAGGTGCCATTCACATATAACAATATAAATAATATAAACCATGCATTTGTTCTTACACAGTTCCAGCCACTCGCGTACTAAGATGGGTGACATTGTCAGGAAAAAGCTTCGCAAGGCCAAAGTCCCCTATTTTGGGATTGAAGTTCTCATCAAGCAGTATGTTGCTAGCTTTGATATCTCTATGAACGATATTAGGCTGAACCTCATCGTGAAGAAATGCAAGAGCAGAAGCTGTACCACGGCAAATGGAAGCCCTCTTTGGCCAATCTAGAGCAACACATTTATTTTGAGAACCTACAAAAACGTTCGATGTACAACATTTCAATGAGCTTTTTCACACCAAAATCATGAAGGCAAACAATTCTGAACATTAAAGAAAGTTGAATATCCAACCAGCGGAGAGAAAAACTCACATATTCACACTATAATATGCATTTTTAAATTGCTCACTTACTTACCAAGCAAAGAGCTTGCAAGGCTATTGTTTTCCAGAAATTCATAGACCAATATGCGATGGTTATCCTCAATACAGCAGCCAACTAGTTGAACAAGGTTTGGATGCCTTATGTTTGAGATCATATCAATCTCTGTCATGAATTCTCTTGTCCCTTGTTTAGATTCCACAGAAAGAGATTTGATAGCAACTTGAGTTCCATCCCTTAAGACTCCCTGCAAATATTAATGACTGAGCAAATAAGAAAATTACCAAAAATAAAGGGGAAAATTGAAAGAGAGGAATGCAAAACCCATAAAAAGCCAACAAAGAATATAAGGCAGATGCACAATCAAAATTTAAAAACTACTGATAAGGGCAATTGCTCTCACCTTGTAGACAACTCCATAACCTCCTCTACCAATTCTGTTGGATGGATGAAAGTCTCCTGTTGCTGATCTCAAAGAATTATAACTAAATCTTTTAGTTGATATCACTGCCATTCAAAAACACATAGCACAAACAAGTAAATCACTAAATTTCTCACAAAGAGACAGCTAGTAAAAAAGAAAACCCTAGCAAGCTTCTCAAAATCTCTGAAAGGTATTCAGGCAGGCAAGTCTGATTTAAGTTGGACAAGTAAGTTCCCAAACAACCAGACCTCCATCCTGATCCCAGTTCCCACAAGAACATGCAACAATTCCAGACAAATGTTGTCCGCAGGTTCTGAGATGCATTGATGAGATGACAAAGATATCTCAAACTAATACAAATCTCTTGAGTAAACAACTTTGTACTGTCGCAGTTATAGACAGACAATCTCAAAATCTGTGACAGATTCATATCGGGTTTGAAGAAGAGATGTATTGAAACATGCCATGCAACAGACTGGACATAATCATGAACATCATAGAACTCAGTGATGAATCAGAAAAGTCAAAACACCCCATTCTCCTTACCTTGTTCGCGTGACTGATCATTAGGATAATTCCTCCGTTTAGGTTTACACCAATTCGTGGCACCGAAGCAATTTCCAGTCATTGCTTTCTCTTCCAGTCTCTACCACTATAATTAATAAACTTTTTTATCGGCATTTGTTCTTCACACCCAACAAACCAACCACTAACCACGAAGTAGGAAAAAGAAGAAATATCATTCTTCGGGGAAAGCAATGATCAATGATGCAGCCTGGGTTCCTTACACACTTATATAAGCAAACAAGTCAACCAAATGAGAGGTAATGTCGTGTCTTGCCCACAAAGGTTGAACCTTTTCCCCGTTGGGTTTTTTTTTTTTTTGACTGGTCAAAATGATTAAATTACTGCGCAAACAAAAATCCTATTTCGAATCTTGAAATGTAAAAACGTTAGATAGCCATGATTTATTCGAGATATAAATATGGAAGAGTTGGAGAGACCCAGTGAACCCATATATGGAGAAGAAAATGGAGAACCTGTGAAAGGTTTACGAAGCACTGTAGAAAAAACAAAAAAGTAGAGCCGACAAGCAAGCATTAGGAGGGGGGTTAGTGGGAGGTTACTAGCGAAATCGACTGATCGTAATTTTCTTTTGCTTTTGCTTTGGTTTGCTTGAAAGTTGAAAGTTGAAAGTTGAAAGTTGATTTATATTATAAAGGACCCAACAAATCAACGAAAAGTCCAACAGCGAGAAAAGAATACTGCCGCAAACCCGAAAAAGACATCGGAACACTTTTCACACTGTCCTTGTCAATTACTTAAATGTAAAATATTTTTAATAAAATTTTATCTCTAATAAAATAATTATATATTTTTAAATTAATTTTATTTTTTATATTTATTTTTATTAAATAACATATAATAAATATAAAGTCATTCATTAATAGGGACATCTTAAAAAAAAAGATAATGATTACGCTTCAAAAAAATAAAAATGCTTTATATTTTTTAACAATCAATTTTTTAAAAAATGCCTTATATTTTTTAATTGAGAGAGCATTTATTAATCTTAAATAGTTTTTTACCAAATTTTTTTAGAGAGAAAATATTTCTTAAAAAATGAAATATTTAATAAGAATAAATTAAAATTTTTCTAAATAACATCAATAAATATTGATAAAATAATTAGAAGTAACTTTTATTCATGTGAGACCCAGCGAAAGGTGTACTCCCTCTATTAAAAATATTATGATATTTTTAATTAAATTTTATTTCCTAATAATTTAGTTAAATGTCTTCTAATTAACACATCTTTTCATATTTATTTTTATTTAATATAATATTCTATTTAAAAATTATAAAATAATTTATTTATTAAGATCGTTTTTGAAAAAAAGCACATTATTATAGCTTCAGAAACTAAAAAAAAAAGTCATACATTATTTAACATCCAATCTCTTAAAAATACTTTGCATATTTCAACAAAGGGAGTATGTTAGTTACACATTTAATTTTTTGGATATGGGAGTCAAGAAATAATTAATTTTCTTTAAATAAGTTATTTTTTAATTGTAAAAAAAAATTTCTAGCACCCTCCCTTTGTTTTGAAATATAAGAGAAACTACTCCATATTTCTTTTTTTATATTATAAACAAAACTAAAAATTTCAAGAAACACTGATTATATTTTTCTCAAACTATCCGTCATAAATGAATAGTGTCATTAAATTAAAAGGAAAAATTAAACATTAATTACTAGGGCATTTTAGTCTAAATATTTCAATTTCTGATATAATTATTAGAGTTAACTAACTTTTTTAAATCATGTGAATTGGTTAAAAAAAATTATATTTGAAAACGAAGGGAGTATTATAGCACCACATGTAATTTTTCCCATTGATGTACCTATGGCCTCCCTCCTTGAATACAACTAGTTGCAACATTTTTTTTTTAAGGTAAGGTACAAAGTTCTTGAGGAAGTTAAATGGAGGATGCTAGTTGGGCGTTAGTCAAGTTAGTCCAACGGGACTCAATACAAAAAGGAGGAGCATGTAACCAAAGGAGAAATTCAAATTCCATATCCTGAGCACGTTTGGCAAGAAAGTTCACACAACATATTGCTTCACGACAACAATAGTAAATGGTAGTGTTTTTATCCACAAACAAGGAGTCTCTAATGGATGGTTTGCAATAATGTCTCTGAAGATGAGGTTTAAAGCCTCTAATGAATAAGTAAAGACCATGGCATTTGGATACCACATTCAAAGCAAAGATTAAGGGCATTCCTTATTGCCTCAAGCTTAGCTATCATGTTAGGGGTATATCCCACTTGACGTTGAAATCCCTATAGCTAGTTTCCTTGATGGTCATGGGCGACTCTGCCTACCGTTGCTACATTAGAGTTAGAAAGAGATCCATCAACATTTATGCGAATTTCATCCACTGGGGGAGGGTGCCATATAGTGTCTGCATGATTTATGCTTCTGGAGATTTGGTACCTAAATCTTGTAGCAAACTGATCTTCCAAAAGCTTATTTTGGCATATGCTTTGCAATTATATTGGGCTAAGGTAGGAACCTTTAATGGCTTCTTGACAGCAATTTTTCCAAAGCAGTTAGCAAGTGAATCCAAATTTTTTTTCTAAGACCAATACTAGACCTTGTGGTGTCTAGCTACCTGCTTAGCATTCAAAGCGACCCAATCATACAAAGAACAAGAAAATAAACTAGAAAGAAGGTTAGCTTTAATAAGGTGGTGCTAGACTTAAACCCAATAATCACATAAAGTTTGTAAAGTGTTTTCCTTACTTTGACATAAAAGAACACTCAACATTATCACACAAACCTCTCCTAGCTCTTATAAGATTAGTAAGGAGTCTCTCTAAGACAGCTTGCCAAATAAATGTTTTAATCTTTTCAAGGAACGGCCACTTCTACAAACATCTCCAATTAGGTTTAGGTGAAAGTCCATTATAAGTGCATAAAAGGTTATAGCTAGATTTAATTGAGAAGACCCCATTATTAGATGGTTTTCAGTAATAGCAGTCAGGAAAAAAATAATTAAAGGCTTGAGTTTCATTAATATTCTGACAATATTTTTAGGAAAGTGTATGCACTAGGCAGCTTTGTTCCAATGGCAGAAAGGAAGAGCAAAGTCCCAGACCATGGCCTTAAAATTCAAATTGTATCTGTTTCTAATCCTATAGGTAATGAGGGGTTCAAGGAGGGGGCCCAATGATCCTACCAAAAACTACTGCTGCCTTTGCTCTCAATTTTCTTACTGAGACCTTTCACAAAGATGTCCTAGATTTTGATAATGGTTCTCTAAGTAAGGGAGGCTCTTTTGTTAGTTGTTATACCAGGCATAGTCTCATGGCTACATTTATATTTAGCTCTAAGGCATTTGACCCAAAAGGTGTCATTTTGATGAGAAGGCCCAGCAAAGTTTCATTATAAAGGAAGTGTTTTACTTTTCAAGATCCTTGATGCTAAGGCCCCTATTTTCTTTCCTATTCTTGGCATCATCCTAAGCAATAAAGTGAAGTTTTTTGTGCATAAGGTGATTGTTCCAAAGAAAGGTATGACTACATTTTTCAACTTCCTAAAAAACACCTTTAGGAAGCATAGTAGATTACATGGTGTAACTTAGTATAGATGTGAGAATATACTTGATAAGGACCACTCTACTGGTAAGGCTAAAGGTAGTTGCTTTTCTAACTGGAGAGTTTGTGCCTAACTTTGTGAATGATTGCACAGGAGGTTTTCTTGGTAATTCTTTTATGAAGAACAAGGACAACGAGATACTTTCAAGATCAGGCGTGAGGCTGGCTCCAAGTTGCCTACTAAGATCCAAAGCTCTATCAAAGCATACATTAGTGGAGTAAAACATGGTGGTTTCTTAAGACTGACATGGTGTCTGAAGCAAGGCAGAAGTCATCAAGAGTCCTTTTGATAATAGAACCTTGTTAGGAGGAGGCTTGAGAAAAAATGAGAAGGTTGTTTGCAAAAAAATAGAAAAGAGATATAAGGCTTATTAAGTTTGAGTGGTTTCCAATGCTTTCTGCTACACTCCTGATTAATGAGATGCTTGAGTCCTTTTATGCAAAGGACATAGATGCAGGGGCTGAGAAGATCTCCTTGTCGTGTGCCTTTAAAGAGGTGGAAAGCATTAGATTCCTCTCATTCCAAAGCATACACAAGGAAATGCTAGTGATGCATTCCATGATTAAATGGATAAAGCTACATTGCAAGACAATTTTGTGAGATTATCTTTAATGAAGCCCTAATCTAAGCGATCAAAAGCTTTTTCCAAGTTAACCTTGAGAGCCATGAAACCTGTCTAACCTTTTAGGGATGCTGCTAATAGTTCTTCTCTTCCATTCAAGGGCCAGGTTGGCAAGGTTATGCATCGCTTCTGTCAAAGAGGCATCTTCCTGCGCTTTATCAATAAAGTCCCCAGAATCATCCTCTAAAGCCTAAGTTGCTTGGTAGACGAATTTGATTTTCCTTCCTTTGCCTTGTTGATTGACATCTTTATTGACGACAATGAGACAGTGGTCAGATTCAGTCATGAACCTAAAAAAAGGAAAAAAAAAAACTTATATACTTAATCTTATATATTTAAGGTACTTGTTTCTAATTAAATCAAGGCATACATATCTTTTATATATTATTTAATCTATGACAAATTCTTATTATTAATATTATTAAAATATAAAAAATTTACATGTCTTTATTTGATTAAATAAAAATATATTAATTATATAAGATTAAATATACTATCTCTGTTAAAAAATATAAGACATTTTTAATAGAATCTCACCGCCAATAAAGTATTATTTACTTTTAAATTGACCATATCTTTTTATATTTATCCCTTTTAAATATCCTACAATATATATAAAGTCATTTATGAAAAAAGGATAATGATTATACTTTAAAAGACTAAAAATGCTTTATATTTTTGAAGAGAAGGAGTATAAGTCTTGCCAAAAAAAAGGGAAAAAAACTGTTCAACCAAGAGTTTTTGGATTTGTGCTTGGAGTATATGAGCAATACATTTCATTATTGGGCATCAGCCATGTTAAATGTTTTTCATTTGGTGTTGGTTTGATAAAAGCTACACATGCATACATGATTCATTTTTTTAAAAAAAATAAATCAAGGGCAAAATTTTAAGTTTCTACTAATGATTGGGATTGTCGTGAAATATTCCTATTCTCTAGTATACCATGTTTGATAAACTGATATTAATATAATTTCATAGCGCAATAAGTGCCGTCAACTTAGGATGAAATTTTATTTTATATTATCCAGGCCTGGCTGAGGGTTAATTCAAAATGAAGCTATTGAAAATTGATGAAACAATATAAAACATATTTTCTTCGCTTTAAAATATAAAACACCTATGTTAACCCAAAACATATGATATTTGTAAAGAGTATTGATGCAAAAGGTAATTAAGATATTCACCCCTTGGTTTTATTTTTTTAATCATATTTATAAATCACTTTCAGTATTTTTATTGAAACTAAAGAAAATTGCAAACCTCATTAACTCAATTTGTGAATTTAATAAATTTTTTAACTTTATCCTTATTAAATATATATTTTAAAAATAAAATACTTAAACATTTAATAAATTTCTCAATATTTAATAAGGATAAAAAAGTAAAAATAGACACAATAATTATTAAAATATTTTATAAATAAGACTCAAACAAATACTATCTCTACTCTATAACTACTAAAGGAGTACAGGGAAAATTTTAAAACTTAGTTTGATTATAAATATAGGGTAAAGATATAGTAGTTAATTACTTTTTCTGATATTTGTCCTCCTTAATTGCATTAAGTATTAATTTAAGTGAAGGATAAAATTAAGAAAAATAATTTTTCACAACTATAAGGATATTAATTATCATTATCATTTCTTAAAAAATAATTAATTTAATTTTTCTCCATAATTAAGACTGGAGGAAATATTGATGTTAATTAGATGATAATCTTGAAATATCGTGACAGTTCGAGAGTAATTACTTTTAACCAATTTTCTTAATCTCATAAAATATTTAAAAAGCGGGTGGAGTAATTAATACGACTGTTCCTGGAAGCAGGAAACCGGTCCAAGAGACCAAGACGGGGTTCAACGGAACAAGGCAAGCTCTGTACCTAAAAGGCCACGAAAGAAATATGATTGACCAATTCCACTGGTTAAGTGCATTTACATTATTAGCCATTAAATGCTGATGAAGACGTCAGAACTAATTTCCTGGTGCTGTATAGCGTAAATACAAAAGGAGTGGCAATAAATACGAAACTTGTCATCTTCAGTCAAACAATGATGATTGACACATTTGCTTTTTCTGGTTCCTGGCTAGGCGCTTGTGTCCTGACTTTTGCGGCGATTTCACGCCCACACGTTTATAATACACATGGTCGTATGTGGAGCTCTCGACGTGACGTTTGGTTACTGGAATAAATGTAAATGAAATGAATTAAAAAAATAAAAATAAAAATAAATTAAATAATCCTTCTGTCATAGTAAACAAAAAAAAAAATTAATAGTAAATTATAAGTTTCAATTTCCTAAATTAAATTATCATTTTTTTATAAAAATATTTTATTTATGTTCTTTTACATTTTAATTATTTTATTTTTATTTTATTTTTTTGAAAGAGAATTATATTCAAAAATCTCTCAAAAAATTATTTATAAACAAAAAATAACATGAAATTATTTTTTTATTAAAATGATAATAATGACTTTTTTTTTTGAATGGCGATTTTTTGTTAATTCTTGTATGTGAATAATTTTTTTGAGAGATCTTTGAATGAGATTCTCTCTTTTTTAATCCATTCTATTTTTTTTTAACAACCGAAAAGATCTAAGTTTTGAACTTCATTGCTCACCAAAAGTCCAGAACCTCACAATTGTCTTCTTCTTCTTCTTCTTTGCTGATTAAAGTTAAATTTTCCAGTTTCCGTTTCCAATATTTTACCTAATACATAACTCTAGAAACAAAGAATACAATAGTAGGCTAGACAAAAAAAACTATCGAGAGTCATCAGATTTATTGGGCTGAATATTTGTGTCAACAAAGTTGTTATTATTTTTTAGCCTGGATCAGTGATCAACGTTGCAGGATCAATTTGGACTCTTGACTTTTTTAAATGTTAAGTAGTGCTTATTTTCGTATAAAAATTCATATTTCGTTTTTGGTTCAAGCAAATTCAATCAAGAAGCAATTTTTCGCATATTCCATTTTTATCACCGTTCAATTTTAATTTAGTTGTTCTTAATTATCAGAAAATTGCAGGGCTAATTTTCAAGAAATTATAAGGGTAAAAAGTCATTCATTTGGTATAGTCATACAACTGAATTCCTGCTTGACATTGAGCAGCGCATTGATGGGCTAACCCAATACGCCACGACTCACAAAGTCACAATGGGGTCCAGACTCCATAGAATTAATTAAATAGGAATTAACAAATAAATAAATTGTTTATAATTTTTTGAAATTCAGAGAATTTAGTTGCATAATGTGATTTTTCTCCCATCAATCTCTTAGATTAAAGAGATGCATCTGTTGTGATGTATAATTAGGATTCGTTAGTGATCCCAAATTCCCAATCTGTCACATTGCGCTCCGAGTCAATGACCACAGGTTTGTTATGAAGAAAAGCAGTTTAATAGATTTTTATTTCCAACGAAAATCAGTGTCCTATACTCGCTTGAAGTCTAAATCAACTCACATTGTCCATAGACTGCAAGTATAATGACTTTTTAAATATATTATATACTTTCTATTAAAAAATATAAGTTATTTTTTAAATGATTAGACACTTAAAAATTTAAAGCATTTTTAATCTTTTAAGGTGTAATCATTACATTTTTTTCAAAAATATCTTCATTGATAATAACTTTATATTTATCACAAGGTGTTTAATGAGAATGAAAATGAAAAGATAGAGTCAGTTTAAAAGTAGGTAACCACTTTATTGAAAATGAAATTTGATTAAAAATACCTTACATTTTTTAATGTAAGAAGTATTATATATATAGAATATAGATTTCCTTGAATTCCAATATAATAATAAAACACTAACATTTATACAATCATATCACATCTAATTGAAATATTACATAGATGCCTGAGATAGTGTTATAATTGAAGAAGCGGCTCTTCGATTCTTAATTACCAATCACCAGCACAAAGTACAATGCATACTCCTCTGGTAAAATTCTAGGAAATCAAAGCAACACAGACAATTTTTGCTTCTACTGTTAACTCAGAATGATACCTTCACTGACACCACAGACAGATAGAGTAGCAAGGGCAGCGACGAGTTAGCGAATGCGTCAAACGTTATAACACCCCAAAGTTCATAATTCTATTTTTTTTTTTTTTTAAGTATCATGTCTCATACATGTGGCTTCAAATTGCCCTGGATGCTTCTCCTTATATCCTGTATGAAATAAACCAGACACAACTTGTGATTAAAATTGCCCTATATATGAAACAAAGATAACTTATTTAATCGCAATATGAATATCTGGACATATACCATATGCCTCATTGCCATATCTAGTGACTTCTTTGATAGTGATCTTCCAAATCCTGAGCTATCAGACTTGCCAGAAGAATTATGAACTGAAGAATGATGGCCTGCATCAAGCTTTGGTGGTGCCAGTTTCCTCATGTTCACTATTCTTTCAACCATTTTTGTCCCAATCATACCTGGGCTATCATTTTCATCATCATTAATCGAACAAGATCTGCTCTTCAGGATGGGCCTTTTTGGTCTTCCGCTGCTATTATTATCTTTGGCCTCAAGAGAAAACAATCTACTACACCTAGAGGCTGAGGCTGGTCTTTCAGGTAATGTAGACTTCAATTTTGGAGGAGCATCAAGCAAAGAACCTTGCAACTTTGTTGGGTTTTTCACAAGTTGAGGGCGTATTTTTGATGCAGATGAAGATCTTATAGGAGTGGATGATCTTTTCGGCTTACCAGAGGTTAAGGTTACCTTAGAGGATTTGGTTCTTGAAGACAAAGTTGAAGATCTGGAAGGGGATGGTGACGAATGTCTCCTATTAGTATTACCATTAGTGGAGGAATTAAGATTAGGCATCACTTTATGAGTCTTTGAGGCTATAATTCTTCTTGAAGCTGGTTCTGCTATGACATTAGTCTCCTGCAACACAAGATATAAAAATGATCATAGGAGAAAGTTTCACATGTAAGACAGCCTTTATAAATAGAGAAGTATATGATGCATTAAGATTTAAAAGAGAGAAGTATAGAAAGATAAGAAATGATGAGTGTGACTGTACATACATTATTCACATTCTTTTACGGCACTTCATCCTTGAGAGCAGAAGTACACAAGCACAGATGGTTCAATTTGCTAAACAAACAGGGTGTACCGTGTGGTTTAAAGTACATTATTTATCTTAGTTTGTTAAACACTACGAAATTGTTCAAGATATGGTAAACGATTTTAACATCAATGAGATTATTTTAATTAAAAGGAATCCGATGAATCGACTAAAGTGATAGAAATTGTTACCCTAGGTTTTAAAGCTGTTCGAGCTTTAGAAATCTCTGTTTCGTTCCTTGCTGAAATCTGCGGTTCCTTCTCCAAAGTTGGAAAGAGAGGTGTAGCAGGTGGCGTAAGAAGCCTGATTACAGAAATTACAAATTCTCATCAACACAAATACATAATATGCTGCACCAAAATCATGATGCACAGATCATGAAACATGTTGCTCAGAGCAATAGAAGATGAGGTCAAAACGTACCAGTTATAATCTGACATGTCATTCTCTGAAGGCACTATACTAGAAATACCACGACTGAATTCTGCGGAAATATTTAAAAGTAATTAAGAGCACAACATTCAGATCATGAAAGGAGGACAAGGAAAGAGCAAGACGAGAAGAAAAGGAAATACCGAAATGAGAAGCGTCGACGGCGTTGTTTTCGGAGTTTGGAAGCAGCAGAAAAGTGTTGCGTTCATTCTCTTTCTCTCTTCTTCGCATCTCCAGGAACAGAACCAGCTCTTCATCTCTCTCCTTCATCACCAGCGCCTCCTCAGCTTCGATTCTTACTTCTGCCCAGAATATAAACGCTGTTCACATCAGAAAATTCTCAGTGTTCCCGAATAACAACACTTCCATTAGTAACAGTATATTGCAAGTTACAGAGAGAGATGCATGATGCTTAGACTGAATGAATATGAGGATAACATTAAACGCTCCCAGTGGCGCTTTATTTAATTTTGGGAGGCAATTAGTGTCATTTGATGATGGGTACCATCACGTAATCGGTAAAAAGGAAGAGGACATGTCAAAAAAAAAAAAAAAAACCTGTTATTCGAACAAGCACCACTAATGTTGGTGGAAAAAAAAAAAAGAACAAGCACTAATAATAAGTTATTATTTAAAAAAATTTACTTTAATAATAATATATTTTGTATTGATCCTTCTATGTTAATAACATTCTTTACAGATTCTAAGACGTGATTTTTCCTCCTTAAAATTTGAATATAAATAATTAAATTATTTTTTATTTAATGCTAACTACAAGATTTTTCCTGAAAAAAATTAATTAACTTATCCTTGATAAGTTTTACACTGAATATTAAATATTTATTATATTAACTAATATTTTTTGAATTAATTAATGTCATATTTATAAATCACTTTTAATATATTTCATCAAAATTAAAAAAAATTAAAATTTATTAATTTTTTTAAAAATTTATTAATTTTCTAACTTTATATCTATTAAATATATACATATTTTAATAATTTAATAATATATTATCTCTCATAAATATTTAATATTTAATAAAAAGTAAAAGAAAAACTCGTAATAAAAAATTAATGATATGTTTTATAAATAAAAATATATATATTTTCCTTTGCCTTCTAAATAGAATAAGAGGGCACTCCTACTGTGAATAGCAAGAACTCTCGATCCAAATGGTTAAAGCTTAAAAGTTTAATTTATTAATTTCCAGTTTAATTTACTAATTTCCATCAATATTATCGAAGAGATGGGACACACACACTTACTGAAATAAGAGAATCTACTATAATGAATTAGATGGTACTCCCTCTATTTCAAATTATATGATACTTTTAAATGAGTTTTTTATCTCAAAATATATAAAATATTTTAGATAAATTAAAGTTTTATTAAATGCACTAATTCTATTAGTACCCTTTTTTTCTATAATTAATTTTCATCCTTTCTTTTTTTGATATATTAAATGATGGATATTTTTAAAAGTTTATATTTTTATTTTAAAAAATTAATATGGTTAAGTATAATTAATGAGGTTTATTGATATGTAAAACTTTATTTAAAAATATTTTATAATTTAAAATAAGGGGAGTAAAAATGAGTTCAGTCCACCATGCCTCTGAATAACTTTTGTAAACTTTAGAATTGGACTAAACAAACAAGTAATTTTAGACAATTTGGGCTAGCCGAATAAGTTTGAATAAGTTTATTTTTTCATATTTTTTACAATTTTAGTTACTTGTTTATACTTTTTTTTTTTATAGAGAGGGGATCGAAGAAAATCAATAAAGCAAATTATAAAAACAATAAAGAACAGCTTTATTATAATTGAGCTTTTCTCAAATAATTTTGATACATACTCTCTCCAGTTAAAAATATAAAATTTCACCTCTCAATAAAATAATTATTTATTTTTTAATTAACCCTATCTTTTCATATTTATCCTTATTAAATACCTTATAATAAATATAAAGTTATTATTAATAAAGATATTTTAAAAAAAATAATGATTATATATTAAAAGATTAAAAATATTTTATTTTTTTTAAATATTTAACTTTTTAAAAAATTTTTTATATTTTTAACGGAGGGAGTATCTATAATTTTATCAAAAAACAGATCATCAATCATTGATATTTTCAAACGAGGAGATTCAAATTTCAAAGAAATGCTGGGAAAAATAGGAGTTTTCATTTTGAAATGAAAATAAGGAGACATTCTGACATGCATGCGAAGAAAGTCAAAGAATGCTGATACCTCAACGAGGGCTGCCGATTCCTCGGGAAATTCTAAAGGATCATCGGTGATCGGACGGTGTAGATTGCATCAGAGAAAAGAGATGCCTCGCGAAACGCGCGGCTTCAATTGGAGAGAGCGTCTTCTGTCTTGTTCCAGCGTATTGATCCCCTTTCCCTCTTTGATCCAGCGGGCCCCACGGATCTTGCTTATTCAAACATCTTGACTTTCTGCTTTAATTCCAAAAACAGAAAAATACCCCAATGAATAATGACAATCAGCAAAATGTAATAATTATTTTCTAGTTTTTGAACTAACACATTGTTTTAAATAACATATTTATCCCTGTAAAGAAAATCCTTTATTTTAGTAAATATAAATGATTAATTTGTATTGAGAAATGATTACTTTTTTTAGAAGTAAATAATTACGTCGGAATAGTAAATTGTAAATTATTCTATGTACATTTTTTTTATTAATGAAGACTGACTGCTTTTTTTTTTGGGGGGGGAGAAATAACAACTTTTCTTGAATAAATGACTACTTTCCTGATATTGTTACATCCATATTCCATATTAAAATATTCCAATATTTAGATTCAGTTGATTTTGAGAATATAACTATGACATTAAGCTCAATTTTTAGGTCATTAATACTTAGGAGGTTGGATTAAGGACAGCATGGGATCGAAAGGCTTTAACTCCATCATTGTTTCTATTCGGTCAAAAGAACAATCATTGTTTCAACTTAAGACAGCCACAGTGTCAGAATTGTCCATTCCGAGATTTACTTTATGAACTTAAATCTATGAATCTATTGAATCTTCGGAATTTGGCTTGCATGCTTTTCGAGAACAAACCATGTCGAGGACATAACCTAGTGTAGTGCTAATACTTTTTCGGACGAAACAGTTGACATGTTTCAAGGACCACATTATTAATATAGTCATCGGAACCTCAAAAGACTTGTAAATCGCTTTCAACCTTGCAAACAAGACAAGGATGTGATTTTAAAGACATTCTAATCAGCACAGACAAAGAATCTTAAACACAAATCCGTCAGAGGGTCGAGGCCAAGAAAGCATGTTACCTCATCATGAAGCTGAATGCATTTCCTAGTCTACTCATGTTTTCAGTTGTGACTCTGTTAAAAAGTATTGTTCATACTTAATACTGTTGTTGTGCTGTCAAAGGTATAATATTCAGGTGTTTGCCTTGCTCTTAACTATCTTATGTTCTCATTGTTCTGTAATTTCTCTTCTACATCGTGAAGACGTGAACTATTACCTCCAAAGAAATATTTTCTTCCAACCAATGCTTCTGGTTTCTTCTTGCTCCTGCAATTTCATGTTCAATGACGCCATGGGAAAAAATTAATTGTCCATTGAACTAGCTTAAAGTCATCTATGAAGGGAGGAAGAGGCCCCTAATTAAGTTTCAAAGCAACCTATTCTACATGATGATATGGTAATTTGAAGGAAAGAAACGTATGACATACAGAATGCACATTTCAAATAAGAAATGAAATGATCCTAAGATGAGCAAATCAAGCGTCATCACCATCACTTCCAGCAACATGAGCTTCCTGAGCTTGTAAATATCTGCTGCCATCAGGGCCAACAACCTTAAACCTAGTCAAGAACAGATCACATCACCAAAAAGGTGGATTAATGAACCGCCCAAAGAAAAAAAAGGTCAATGCAATGAAATGGACAAATGGTATAGTAAACCTCAACAAAAATCAACAATCTGGTATCAAAGGGGCTAGCTCAGTTGATAAGCAAAGATGGTATATCCATAACGATCCACATTCAATTCCTTTGGAAAGCGTTTTAAGAGTAAAAATTATAAATGCATCGGGCTCATATGATGGGGTACGCCATTGGAATCTCCCCAAGAGAAGAATTCAAGGAAAGTTTGGGACATAGTGACACCCAAAAAGTACAGTAAAGAATAACAGACTGGACTGGTTACCTTTCAAGAATGAATTTTCCTTCTTTGTACTTTTCACTTTTCTCATGCGCGGCCTCCTAAATGAACAAAAGTGGAATAGGCATTAAGGAACGCTTCACAATAACAACAGCATGACAAGAAAACAATTAATTCCCAAATATTAACATGAGCTCTGAAAAATGGTCCTTACATATTTCCATCCAACAATGGACCCGCATGTGACACAGAATATGTCAACAACAGTATGCAATCCTGTTATCATCATCCGCTCTTCTTTCTCTCCAACTGTGACATTCACACTGTCATCAAGAAGAGAAAGCAGGATGTCAAAAATGTCCTCATGAGTTCATCCTGAGTTCTTGACATAACCACAAGAACTTTTTATTTTCAATCTGGCGGAATTCCTCATCAACGCATTCAAGATGAAACACGTACAAAGTTATTGAGTTTCTCCCAAGATATCGCAAATCCTAGAGAAGTTAAAATTGTAAACACAACAGCGTAAACAGAATCTACATTCCCAACTTCTAATGCTTTTGTCAACTTGAAATAACACTTACACTTCATTAAATAGGTAAGCCTTCCCATGCCTGCAATGGAAAGACTACAAAGGAAAAAAAAAGAGTTAGATTGCCTGCATGATTCCATGTTCTGAATGCAAGGAATTTCAAATTTGTGAAAAGCATAATACAAATTAAGGATTCAGAATGCATATAGGAATCATGGAAAGGAAGAGCCAGAGATCAAATCAATTACAATGTAAGTTTCCCAAATGCTATGCTTCTCTACTTTTAAACAACAAGTCACCAGAGGAAAAGACTTGGTACAAAAAGTGCTGTAAGACAACATAATATGGATATGAAAAATGGCAACTCTTTTGGTTACGAAGATCCACATTATGACATAAAACACTAAAGGTTAAGAGGATTTTTCAATTACATGATTGTAATCCCACAACTTCACGATTGAAAAAATTGGCATACTTTGATAAAGATATAATCCAAGCTATCAAGTTCTGCTACACACGATAACTGATTGAAGGATTGTACCAGTAATAGTACGTGCTGCACCATTTAGATTTCTCCTCCTTAAAAGGAAAATTATCTCATTTTTGAATTACAGAGTCATCCATTCAATGAACTTCTTTAGATAACAAAAGTTGCATTTTATTTAAACAAAACCATTTCAAACATGATTAACAAGTATCACTCCAAGACAAGGTATATAAAGTGAGAATTTCCCACTCTCTCCAACACATGCGTGATATAGTGCAAACAAAAAATGGTTCTACAGTCAAAGGATCACATGATAACAGAGAAGAATATATCAACACAACAAGAAGAAGCATTGGCACGAGAATGACATTGAAGAAATATATCAGATATGTGTTTAAAATTAAATATGCTTTAAAATTATTTAAAGAGTGCTGATTAGATTCCTAATAGGGCAGTTTGGTATATCAGTCTAAGTGAAGTTTAAAACACATTAAAGACACTGAGACAGGCGCTGATACAGCTCTTCTCTATAATTGCAGTGCTTCAAACACAGCACACTATGATTTAAGAGGTAAGAATATATATTTGATAATGTTTGATTTTTCGTTCAACTGATTTCCTCGTATCTTGCCAACTCCTCTATAATTGTACTCCTTCCTCCCCTTTGAGGTTCATTTTGTGTGTCCACCCTTTCATCTTCCTAGTTAGCTTATGTCTTATTCTCTAGAGAAAACCCAGAAATATCCATATCCAAAAGAAAACTGCACAATTAGACTCCAGAAAGTCAAATTCAAGTTTCAGGGAAGAGAAATGAAACCTTGGAAATGATGTCATCAAGAAGGGCTAGATGGGTACGGCAGTGCTTGCAGCTATAGATGCTTCCTTCCAGATTGATCAAGAACAACCTTCCCATATCTCCCCTTATCTCAATCTACCAACTTTGAACCGACAACCAATAATGAATCGAATTTCCCTTCAAGAAACGACCAAGGAGAAAAGAAAAAATGAGAAAAATTAAACTCCTAGAACCCATAAAAAACCAAACCAAAATAATCAACAAAATCAATCTGACAGAGGAGTCATCAGATAATGCAATTCAAAGAACGTCACAATCGAAGAAATACATGGCGACTTAAAGAATACAGATTGATGGGGTGAATCAGAAACGAAAAAAGGGAAGGAAATCATTGAATCGTTTACCAGGAAAAGGTAGAAAAGCATTCGAATCCTATCACTCAGGAGTGAGAATGAGATGGTCAGTGAAATTCGGGCTTTGTGAATAACGGGCTCCTCTTGGGCCCCGGGAATGATGACGCGTCGCTCGTTACAAACCTTTGTGATTCTTTTGCAAAGAGGTCCGGCGATTCATATTTATAAAATTTAATATTTACTTATTTATAGTATTATTCAATATTGTTGGTACTTAATAACAAAAATTTATATATAAATATTTACAAACTATTCACTTCTACTTATTATATATATATAAATGCAAAATATATACATTGTTATTATTAGTATATGTATTATGAATTAAATATGGCAAATATATTAATAATTAATAAGAAGATAGTAAGTAAATGATTTTGTCGAAAGAGAAGAATACAGGCTTGCCACATTTTATTTTAATTTAAAAGTGTAATAATAAATATGAAAGTGATTGCACATGAGTCTAATATTAATGAAATAAATTTAGTTCTTGATTAGTGGATGAAAACAGCTAAATGTGAATTAAGAGGTGAGATTTAGGATAGAGGCTCACAAAGTTTATGACGCAATAAGCAGGCAGAATTACACTTAGACAAGCTACGCCGAACGCCATTCCTGCATATATGTAATCCCAAAAGCTGCCGACAAGTATTGATGTGCAAGTGAGCAAATGGGAAAAGATTCGTTGTTGTTGGGGCCGTGGGATTTGTAAATTAACCAAAAGCTTTGATGAAACAAGGCTGAGGCGCCTCCGTCAATGGTCCATGAGCTTTCAGAGCTTGAACCGGCCTCAACGGTCATGTGACCACTAATTGAAAGTTAATATGATGTTTTTAGTACAATTTTTTAGGAGCCATTCATCTTATACAAAACTAGTACACCTTTAATCATTCTCTTATCAATCTTATCAGAAGTATTAGGAACCTTTTTATAAACAATTGACAAATTTACATTAATCATGTGTTTTAAAAAAACAAATTATTGTGCTGATTAACTAGCTCATTAAGCCAATAGAGATAATTTCTGTATTAAAATTTTTAATAATTCACCGCTAGGGTGAGAAGACTTCTTACGTTCTGATTAGTTTGTAACTTCATGATTTTAACTGTAGCCTTATCAACTCAAAAAAATATTAATATAATGTTTGACGAATAAGAAATATTTCTTTAAAAAAAATAAAAAATGCATCTAGTGAAAAATATGATAGGCATATTTTCACTTTTATTGATGTCAAACTCAAACCTGACAAAAGTGGCTCCCATTGCCTCACCACACATGTACAATACGTTTGTCTGTCTTTCGCTTACCTTCCTCTAGCTCTTGGAAATTTGTTATATTGATCGAAGACGTTGTGAGATCTGTCTTCGTTAGAAGAATGATGGGAATGGGAGCCCCCGATTGTCATGCCCACATCTTGTCTTATGTTTATCTTAAAATTGATGTTTATAAAGAGCTAATAGTTCAGTTTTATCAAGTTAGAATGTGTTAGTTCCTTTCCACATGGTTATCTATGATGACATTAACAACATTACTAAATGATTAAAATGTATTCTTTTGTTGACTAAACTCTTTTACTTCAAGAATCCAAGTTCGGAGTATTAATAAATCTCATAACAACTAATATGCTGTGCCTACTGCCCTATAATAATTATACCCATATAAATCAACAAGTCTCCTTTGCTATCAAAATTGGCATAGAAATGGGCCATTATAAGCTGAAATGGAACTTTATATAAGACAATAAATTCGTAATAAGAATAAACTCTCAGGATACTTTTCCCTGTGATGAACATTAGAACCTCGTCCCTGGTGTTTGTTGAAACTGTGATATCTCTGATCTTCTCAACACTTAAAGAGAGGCATCTGTCAGAGAGATCCGCTGTCAGGTGACTGTCAATAAACAAGTCTCGGGGGTTATAACAGTTCTACACATTCAATTGACTAAATAAGTCTCGGAGGTTATAACAGTTCTGCACATTCAATTGACTAAATAGTAATTCAACAAACGTGTAAAGAATGTACTAAATCAATTTCTAGAGAATTAATATTGCCACAAATCGAACCTGTGTTCCCACATCCTTGTGATGTACTTAATTCTATTCCTTAGGCATTTCAAAAGGAGCCTTAATAGATTACAATGAGTTGAAAACCAAAATGCAACTCACTACAAAGTTTTGTTTTGCCTTTTTTCGGCCACCTTCACTTCAAAGTTAGTGGCAGCACAAATCTACAATCATGTGTGAAGTACCATGCCAATCAACAGATACATCAGTCTCTTTCCAAAAGGAAATAATCTGAGTAGGAAAAAAAAAAATTGTCCTCTTGAACCCAAAGGGATTGGCATTAGACATTCAACAATTAAGAAGATAATCCTTCTGGCGGGGTCTTCTTTACTGCACCTATTCTTTGAGGAGGCCATACAATGTGGGTCACTCTTCCTCCAACTAAACCCAAAGGAATCTGCAAACAAAATTTTTAGGTTACCTGTATGTTGAGAGATTGCTAACAAAATATTCTGCATTTGACACAAAGCTGCGTAGACATAATCCACAACAAACCCTTGATTTATATATATATATATATATATATATCGAGCATATAACATGAAGATGTGTGTCCCATGAAAAATATAAAAAAGAACTAGAATACTGTTAAAGGACAAACAGACTTAGAGATCAGTGCCAAAATTTGTCATAAGCACCCAAAAAGCACGTCGTAAGACTTGTCAATGAGTAAAGATTTGGTCAAAAAAACTTAGTGAACATTAGTTTCTTCAATACCTAAAGCAACACAATCAATAGATACAAAACAAAGAAGCTTTTTGCCTCTAATTCTCTGTAATAAGCCAGTAGTTACTACATGCCGGTGATAGAATTATTCTTCTAGCAATTTAAGACAAGTTGTTCGTGCTGTTGACTTCCATAAGCAACTTAGCACTAAGCATGCTTAGTAGCTAGCCCCTTTTCGATCATCTCGCTTGCTGTTGCTGGTATCTTTTGATGTAAACCAGCAATGCTTTTGTACTCTTATTTGATTAATGAATTCCCCTTTCAGTTAAAAAAACAAGGAAAAAGAAAAGACCAGTTGATCTACTTTTGCAGCGTGCGTTTGTGACGTGATAGAAAACATGACAACAACAGAGTGCAATACTAAGCTGCCTGGACTCCTGCTAACATTTGAATTCTATAACCTTTGCCAACAACGCAGTAATGTTTAGTGATCACAAGACATGTTGCCAACAAACTCTTAGTTCAAGCCACCATCACCCATAAAATGTTTGGTTTCTTATTTCTAGGATAAATATGGAAACTTACAGGACCGAATGAGTTTGAATCCAGGCTGGAAGCTGCATTGTCTCCCTCAACCCAACAATGTCCTTCTGGAACCTTTAGCACATCATAGTTACGTTGTGCACCAAACCACTCACCAGGTAACGCAACTATTCTCTTTATGTGAGTCTCCTTGTGATTCAAGGGGGAGCTGCAGGAGTCCAGAATTTAATAATTACACGATTTAAAAATATAAATGTTGAACTCAATTGTAAATGCTCGGCATTACACATTGACTTAATCCGAGTAGCATATTCAACCTCACTCATTAGAAGTAATGTGATCAGGAGGCTATCAAATTATACATCAGAATGAATGAACAAAAAAAATCATTAATAAAAATAAGAAAAGTTTTTAAAAAAACTATAAGTTATTATTTATCTTGTGCATCACATGAGAAATATATCTAGTTAAGTAATATAAAAACATAGATGAAATAAATAAATTAACATGGAAAGGGCAAAACAAGTTACCGGAATACCACCACATCACCACGGGAAAACCTATAGTTTCCAAGGCAAAATTTCTCAACCAAGACATAGTCATCTGTAACATAATCAAATGTCAAACATCATAATTTGCAATAGAGGGAGGGGGGGAGAGAAGGAGAGAGTTTTCACAGATAATTCTTTTAACAAGAAAATTACCATAAATATTTCCCATCAAAGAGCTGGTTTTAGGATTAAAAGTGGGAGACATAGAGCCACCACGAACTGGGACAATGGTCACATAACGATCAGTTACTGTGACAGTAATGAGCCCAAAAGTGATAAATTTCTTTGTAAAACTCCATATAAAGCTTCCTGTTCCCATTTATAGGTCTCCACGTTTAGGTGCATGTCTATCTCAAGTAGAAACCATGTCCAGCTCAGATTACCAGAACCAAGCAATGAAAACAGGGCAGCTGAGAGTGAAACAAACATAAAACACATTCAGTTAATGATTGCGGAATGCCCACAAATCAAAAGTGATAAAGGCAAATAAAAGTACGAGCAATTAAACAATCATTTCCAAGGATAATTAAATTTTATGAAAAATAAAATAAAGACAGCATATATACCACCAATTTACTCAAAATGCAGCAGCCGAGTTAGATTTGAGATTGTAAGATAATCCAAATTCAGCTTACATCAAAACGAGAGAATAGTTATCACTAATAAACTTATATTAAATACAAACTCGATTAAACTCGTGAGGTTACATCCAAGTTTACTGTTTTTTACACTTCTAACTTATAAAATTGTGTCAACTCACTCATAAACTCAGACTAGATACAAGTTTGGTTAAACTTGTTAAACTCATCAATTTTTTTTTTTTAATTGAGTGAGTTAAGTATATACCATGAAAAATTCAGTTTATAAAAGTTATAAGACCTAGTTCAAGGGGGGAAAAAACCTTGAAATGCAAAAACTAATATTAATTGAAAAAAATCAAAAATATGTCTTGAATATGATGATTTATTAATGTAGATGCGTTTAATTTTGATGATTTATATTTTTAATATATTTAAATTAAATTACAATCATATTTTAATGGTTATTTGTTAATAAAGATAAACTCTTATGAGTTTACGATCTGAATTTATGATACGAGTTTACATTCTTGCTATGGGTTTACTTAAACTCGCGAGTTTATCAACCTTTATCAGTTTAACATAGCTCAATGCTGGGGCTGCAGTAAGTCTAATGTAATAATCAACCTAAAAATTTAGTAGCTCATATCACCATGCTTTTTCTTATAAACTATGAACTATCACTAACTTGCATGCACATAACCCTGCGACCTCTTTCCATCTACTAGTGGCCTTGCAGAGTTGGAGGAATCTAGAACATAATATTCATCATATTGGATGGTATTCAATGACAGTGTCGAGCTCATATTCACCAGACATCCAAATTGCACACTAATGCAGACCAAATATTCAGCTGACTTAAAGGAAAAATCACAGATACGACAGTTATCCATTTTTTCTACATTCCTACATTAATCAACTAAGCTTTATTTTCTCAGGCTTCCTATCAAACACCATGAAGGAAAAAGTATGAATGTTAAGACTAAAACGTAGGAAGTAAAAACTCAAGGAGAAGAAACCATTAAGCAGAAGATTTCAGACAGGTAAGCACGAGAATAATTTTTAAGAAACAGTGATGTTTGATTCATAGAATTTTAAACTTCCTAGATAGTTAGAAACATTGGCGGACCTATACTGCCCCCACTGAAATCTTTGAAATATGCATAGTTGATATAATGTCCCCTTAGTTTTTGTTCCAGATACTTTGACACAACTCAAGCCAAGCCATTTACAAGATCATGCATCACAAGTACCTTGAGAATTTCCAAATTTGATGATAACGTAAAAGGATTAATAAAAAGAATCTCAAACAGTACAAATCCAACATTGCTAAAAAAAAAAAAAAAAACAATATCCAAATCATACAACTCGCTAGTAATCAAAATGAAGAAGGAAGAAGTATAGTAGCCAATTACACACCATTCAAGCAAAAACTAGTACGAAAAAAAAAAAAAACTCAAGATGTACATATTCCCAAATCCAAAATTGTCAATATTCAACGATTACAAGACCAGAATCAAAGCCCAATTAAAACGTAAAATTAAAACAAAGCAAGAACAGCGGGAACAGATGATGCGGGGAAAAATTCAAATCTAGATTCAAAACACCAGATTGAACAAATCAATATCACCAGATTTCGGGGGGTTGAAAAAGCTGACAACGGCGGACGGACGGCGTCCGACGGAGTACGGGATGCTTTTTCGTCGACTGAGAGAACTGGATATGCTATTCACGAGAAAGGGTTTTATCAGGGGTTTATAATTAGTTTTAGGAAGAATTTGGCGTAGGCCTCAAAATTAATTATTCAAATAGCAAAATTAATTACTCTAAATAATAAAATTTATTTTATAAATTTATACCTAGCTCTTCTGTATTAAATAATATTAAACTTTTGGGTATACTAAATATACTTATAATTTTTTTTATTTTTTTCATTCTATTTTATCTAATTTTCTCATACTCATTTTCTTCATTTTTTTAGATAATTAAAAAAAATTAACCTTATTCAATGTTGAATGGAATTAGAGTAGAGAAATGAAATTGACTGAAAAAATAAAGTCGACAAAACCATACAGTAACACATAGCCTTACCTTATATTAACACAAATATACATGAATAGTGAAGATAATAATTAAAAATATAGAAAAATTATGAAATGACAAAATAATTATTATTTTATAAATTTTTATTCCCTCCAATGTAAGTTATTTTTTAAGAAGTTAGATATTAAAAAATATAAGATATTTTTAATATTTTAAGGTGTAATCATTACCTTTTTTTAAAAAGTATCCCAATGTTGACTTTATATTTATTATAGGGTATTTAATAAATATAAATATAAAAAGATAGAGTTAGTTTGAAAGTAAATAACTATTTTATTAAGGGTGAGATTCGATTAAAAATGTTTTATATTTTTTAATAAAAAGAGTATATCATATATAAATATATTAAATATTTACTAGTAATAAAACACAAATTTTGGTTAAAAAAACAATTCATCTTTTACAAATACATAAACATAGTAATTATATAAAAATAAAAATAAATTGATATTATTAAATTATATTAAATGAATTTTAGATTAAATTAAAATTTATATTAACTTAAATAAAATCATATAAAATTAAATTTAAAAAGAAAAAAGAAAAAAATGCCAATTATTATAAATTTAAAAGGTTACTCGTTACATATTAAAAATATATCACTTGTAATATTTAAAAAAGATTATATATTTTACATAAATAATAAAATTAATTTTCTACACTTAGTTAAACTTCACTTCCATTTTAAATTTTTAATATAACAGGGATGATTCATATTTATAAATCTATATGTTATTAATTTTTTTAAAAAAAATAACGAGAAAATTTTCCCAACTAATTCAATATTCTGAATCTGGTTAGAAACTTATAAGATATTTAGTATGGGAAATCAAAAGATAAATTAATGAGTCGCCTGTATCTCAAGCAAGGTAGGAATACTGATTCAATTTTCCCTTTTTAATAGAAGTTAAGTCTGCAAGTGACCGGGAGATAAGATTACACCATCTCGCGGGACATGTCAGATGGAAAGGCGCATTTTCTCTGATGTCAGCACCAAAATTAACGAAGAATAACGCCTATGGAAATGTGAAAAGGAGAGGTGAGGCGAAGGCAATAACGAGGGATTGCTGGACAGTGAAGGAGAGAGAAGACGCTCGTGTTCTTGCCGACGCCCAAATCACAACCCTTAAGAACTTAGTGCTGATGATGGTTTAACAATCTTACGACTCTAACCGAGGACATGTGATTAAGTGATAAGGGCTCGTTCTTTCTTCATCAAGTGTCAAGGGTTCGATCTTTATTTGGGTATGGAAAAATATTTTCTAGCCAGCTCTCACATTTTTTGAGATGCCTGATTATAAGCATATTTGATTTAGTTTGGATCGTTGTTGTACTTAAAAGATGGTCTGTTTAGGATATTGAATGTGTAAGGGAAAAAAAAAACAATATTACGACTCTATCTTTGGTAAACTCTTGCAAAATTCAAAATACGCACCGTTAGTTTTTACCCATTACGGTTCAAGGCACAAAAAGAGACCCAAACCAAACAGTATCCAATGTGCTGGCTTTGTTGAGGCACATTATGGACTCAAACAAAAGCTAGGCCTAAACCTATAGCCTTAATTACTAAACGGTCAAGCCCTTTAATGCTTCAAAATGAGCTTTGTGCCGGACACATACTTTGAAGTAGCCAAATTTTATTTTATTTTTTAATTTTTAATACCAAGGGAAACAAGAAACTACATAGCAGTTCTGAAATCCTGCTGCGAAACTAAAAAGAGCTCAGTGGGAGAAAATAACAGGTGGAACCCAGTAAATACACAATAATGCAAGCTTAGCAAGAGTATCAGCAGTTTCGTGAGATCGCCATAACAGACACTATCCAGTCTCGGGCCAGCAAGGATTTTAATTTCAATAATAATCTCATAATCCCCGCGGTGCTTGAGGTTTCGCCAGTGATAGGTAGCCAATTTTTTTAATTCCATCTAATGGGCTAGTGTCTCACAAATTCTATCTAACACAAGAACTAATTCCTTATAACATGGAGAATGTTCGTTTCTGAAAGAATTAGTACTCGATCGTGTTTCACACCAGATTGCCTCTATTAGGAAAGTAATATACTCCCTCCCCCCACCCCCCAAACAATCCTTTTTTTTTTTATAAGAGCTTATCAACATATTTTTTAATAAATATACTATTATATTCTTATTATATTGAAAAGAAAAAAAGATAAGTACAAATTAATTAATTTAAAAAAATTTATTTTTTATTTATAATAATTAAAGGCAAAACTGAAATATAGCTGTGGTTTTAAATAGATAACTACTCTCTCTATCCTTATATATAAGGTATTTTTAATTAAATCTTGCATATTAATAAAAATTTGTTATTTAGTTAAACTCACATGAAAACACAATAATTTTTCAACCCTTAACGATATCATAATTAATATCATAATAATGGTAGAAAAAATATATAATTAATAATTTATTTTATTTTTTAAGACAATAATAAAATTATCTAATTACTTAAAAATATTATCATCATTTCTTATATTTAAGAAATAAAATAAATTTTTAAAAAATACATTATATATATATAGGGAGTGAGGGAGTAACTTTTTTTGATTTGCGCTTAATAGAATCTCTTAAAAAAAATTACATCAACACTTATCCCGAGAAACATCGGGACTACCTCTAGCTCCCACACACTAATCGGAATTAGCTGTACCGTTATTACATAGAGGCGGTGATTCAGATGATTTGGCAAGATTCATCTGAATTAAGTATATATTGAAATTAGGAAGTGTCTATGAAGTGAGTAAATTGGGAGCAACAATGGTGCAGGACGAGATGATCCCCAACCCAGGGAATCTGCTACGTCTGGGGATCATCATAGTTTCATCAACGATATCTCCAAGAAAGACCCCTCATGATCATTTTGGCTGCACAATACTGGAGAAACCGAGAAAAATCCTATTGGGTCTTGTCCGGGGACTAGGATGATGAGGTGCAGCCGTGCAAGAATTTCCATTTGCATTTTTGAAAACACATTTAAGTCCAAAAGCTGATTTTGACAAGCAATCTTGGTGTCACTTTTGCCCTAGCGTGGCTTTCCCAACGGCCCAAAGGTTACAAGTGTTCTTTTTTAGAAAAAGTACATATTAAGGTACTCTCTTAAATTTTATTTATAGAGTAAAGGAAAAAAAATTTATCTTACTTATAAATTATATTATTAAATTTTTTTATTATCCTCTGTTAAATGTTAAAGAAAAAAATATTTAAAATATATATATTTAATATGAATAAAAGTAAAAACTTATTAAATTTTTAAATAAAATTAAAAAAATTTAAAGTTTTTCTTAATAATGATAAAACAAACTTTCAAATATTAGTTCGGGCTTTTCTTGTCGGGGAGCGATACCCAAATCAACACCGTTTTACTTTACACCGTATTACCAGAAAACACCATTTTACTTTACACTTCATCAAACTTGAATTTTTCAAATTAAAATGTGGATATTGGCTAGAAAACGAAGACTGTTTATCTTTCTATATAATTATATGTTTTTGTCCATTTAAATCAAAACAAATGAGTTTTAAATTGCTAATAATATTATTAATAAAAAGAATAAATTATATTAAAAAAAATACATATGCCTTAGCTTATTTGAAATCAAGCACTTCAAGCGCATAAAGTTAAGCATCAAAACTTTTAAAAATGAAAATTAAAACACAGCTTTTTTGGCAAACAAAAAAAAAGCAAAGATTATGCATTTACCATCTAATTCTTTCTTACTTATATCACTTCTTTTGAACTCTATCTTTAGAACTCCTTACAAACTTTTCAACTAACAAGGAGCCAGATTCATTTTTCCACACTAGCTTCATTTCATGTTTCCAGATTCTCAACATCGAGATACACTAAAATGGAGCGGTAACATTCTGCTCAGCCTCTCAAATTCCATCATGTCACTAAATTTACAAGCACTAATTGAACTATGTGAAATGTCTGCATCCCAGATAAGCAGGACCATAGAAAGCAGGACATGCATATAGTACAGATCAGATGACAACTCAGTAGAAAGCTTTTATGAGGAAGTGAAAGTGTCGATGATGGTAGTGTGAAGAGGATCACTCAAATGGGTTGCCCAGTTGTTGAGAGGGCCTTTGCCAGTGACAGCAGCTTGAACAGCAAAGCCAAGGAAGGCGACCATGGCAAGACGAGCATGCTTGATCTCTGCAAGTTGCAGGGTGGCCTTCTTCTCCGGGTCGGCGGCTAAGCCCAGCGGGTCGAAGAACTTGCCGCCGGGGTACAGCCTCTTCTCGGGGTCCAGCTCTGCGTTCCTTTGGAACTCAATGTACCCAATCACCAGAACCTCAATCCAGATCAATGTGGTCAATGAGAAAGGAAGAGGTTGCCCAAGGTAGGATGAACCCTCAACAAGCTCTACCTATAACACATATGTTGCGTTGCATTAACAATATTCAGAATTTCATACAAACAATGATACAGTCATTCACGTTCTGTTATTTTGATTTGTGGGAGGATTTATACTTCTCAAACTTGAAGCGAGACAAGAGGTAGATTCTACCTATAATTACTTATGTTTGCTTTAAAAAACATGAAAATCATTCCTCCAAGGCATTTGCAAGCCACTTATTTCCTGGTTCTGCTCGTCACTAGGTCAAAGAAAAATTGTATTCAACCGGTGGGGGGATAATTGAAGTGTCAACTATCAATGAAACAAACAATTTGGCGTTAACCAACGAAAATCTAACAGTCTGGTCTAAACTTAATAGACATGTCTAGGTTTTAATTCCTGAAATTTATCGAGCATGGCAGTTAATCTTTAAAAGGAAGAAATAAATAAGCATTTTCTAAGATATATTCGATGGTCGCTTGAGAAGATAAACTAATCTGGAACAAGTTAGTCTAATTTGAGGGAAGGACTAAACTTAATTCCAACAAAGGAGAAGAAAACGACGACAAAGATGAATAACAGTGAGAACATACCTTTCCGGCGTCTTGCCAGGTAACGCCGGTGAGCCATTCAACGGCAAGGGCACCGAGGGTGGCAAGCATGGCCCACCGTCCATGGATGAGCTCGCACTCGCGGAATCTCTGCAAGCCGAAAACCTCACTGTAAGGCTGGAACGGCGTCGATTTGACATCGGAAGTCTCAGTTCTAGTGCCGATCACATCACCTGCCAAATTCTTCGCAAGGTTCTGGTCCAGCGAGTCCAGCTCAAACTGCAAATACTCCGCGGGTTTTCCCAGACCGAATGGGTCGAAGCCGTAATCTCCGACGAGACTTCCGTCCAACCATTCCGGCGCCTTCGCTCCTGGGTACCACAGTGGCCTATCGTTGCTAGGCTTCGTTGCTTTCTTAGGCGGTTTCTTGGTACCAATACCAAACCGAGCCACGAACCGACCCGAAGTCGAGTGCACGTCGGGGAGGCGCGTGCCAATGAAGGAAGATGCAGCGGAAGCGGAAGCCGCCATCGTTATGTTCTAACGTGAGCCGGTAATGCGTAAGGGGAAGGAAGAATAGAAGGTGTCTCGCTGGAAAAGGCTGGAGAGAGAACCGGAGATTATATTGATAAGTGCTTTATCAAGGGCATATAACAGAATCGAAGGTGGAGGGTTCTGTACCGTTGGATGGAGTAGCGTATCCGTCTAACGGTGGAGATGTTGGAAATCTTATCTAGAGGCTTATCTGATAGAAGCAATGTGGACCCCACTCCGTTCCATGAAAGCGCCAGTACGGTGAAGCTTGTGGTCGTGGTTGGACACTTGGCACTGCACATGTGGAAAAAATCTTAAGTCCAGTTCTGGGATTAATCCAGGGAAAATTTCAGTTGGGCACCCTTACGAAATTTTGCTTGAATTTATGACAAAAATGAACAGAATGCCCTCGTTTAGATGAATAATATAAATAATTTATTTATTTTTTTATTATATATTATTTAATTATTTATAAAATATTATTTATTTTTTTATTTTATTTGTTTACAATTTTGCTTTGACTTGATTTTATTTCAAGACCATAAACAAATAAATTAAAAAAATAAACAATATTACATAAATAAATGAATAATATTTGAGTAAAATTAGGACTATAAATAAATAAAATAAATAAATAAAACAACATTTTATAAATAAACAAATAACATATAGCATAATAACAAGCAAATCATTTATATTATTTATTTAAATGAGAGCCATTTTATCGTTTTTATTACAAATTTGACGGAAATTTTGCATGGATCCTTCAATGAAATTTTAAATTGGAGTTCTCTTTTTTATTATTTCAGGTCAAGGTTCCTACCTGAAATTTCTTCATTAATCTATCATCAGAATGATTTTTATCACGCATTAAAAAAATATCTAACCTTTCATATTGCATATTTGAATGTATTGAATTATTGACATTCAAGACAAGGGAAGAATTTTGTTGTCTTGTAAAGATTCCCTGTGAGATAAATTTCAAGAAGACCTGTATTTGTTTCCGACAACTCAAGGGCACAACCCTCTTAACTGTTTCTCTCTCTCTTAATTACAATTTTGGATTATTAAAATGTAACAAGTTGCCCATGATTTTCATAATTTTAAATTTGCCTTCTTGGTTAACTTCAAAGTTGTTTCATTAAAAGGCGTTTTAATTGAAGATTTCTTTTTCAAGCGAAATACTAATATAGAGGGATATATTATCATAAATTCATAAAAACCCGGTGTAATCAACATATGCAACATACAAGCTTACTACATTTTCTTTATATTTTTTATTTCTGTTATCAACATCTACAATCAGTTATATCAATTGAATTTGATAGAAAGCATGAAACAAATATTTTTTTTTAAAACAGAAAAATATAATAATAAATTTTTAAATGATAAAAACAAATTAGAGATTAGCCTACATAAAAGCTGAATCCCAAAACCTTTTCATTCGGGAAAATAGCTTCATGTACTCTTCTTCTTCTTTTTTAAATAGTAAGCTTTCATTTAAAAACAATTGGATTAATAAGCAAATAAGATCATAAATTCTTGTTCAAAAATCACTCTGGACCTGAAATTCTTAAAATGTGTAAAATAAATTTTAAACTTTTAAATTCATAACAAAATAAACTTTGATTATTAACGTTTTAATGCCATTACTATTCACGCAAATATTATTCACCATGAGGCCCAATTAATGTTGACGTGTCATTGTAAATTAACGCTACAGACCTTAAATTATTTTGTTAGTAGCATTCTAAACCCTGAACTATTATTTTAGTAGTGTGCTGGACCTTGAGCTTTGAAATTTTGAACAAATTACCCCTACCATTTATGTATAAAATATTGAATATTATATAAATTAAATTAGCCTCAACATGATTCTTCACAGTGAATGCATTGTTGGCTGTGGTAAACGACCTATAATTATGTGAAATAACATTTTTTGCCCTTTTTTTATAATTTTTTCAAACGATTGGCATCTAATGCTTTCATATATTCTATAATTCTAATTTAATATCATTTTAAATAATATTTATTTATTTAATGGTGAAAACTTAAAACCTCATTTGAAAAGAAGTTTAAATATCAAATAATTTTAATTAACCAATTAATTTAAGATTTAAATTCATCAATAAAATTATTAACTTTTGCATCCATCGTCTATAAAATTCTATGATATTTAAACTTCTTTTCAAATGAAATTTCAAATTTTCACCATTAAATAAATAAAAATTATTTAAAATAAGGCTAAATTAAAATTATAGAATATGCAAAAATATCATATACCAATCGTTTGAAAAATATTGTAAAAAAAAAAAGAAATAAAAAATATCATTTCACAAAATTAGGTCATTTACCATGATCAATGATACATTCACCTCAACAAACTATATTGAGACTAATTTGATTTATACTAATTTGCTCAAAATTTCAAAATTCAAAGTTCAAAACGCTACTAACATAATAATTTACAATCTGTGACGTTAATTCACAATGACACATCAACGTTAATTAGGGTTCACAGTGAACAGTACTTGCATGAACAGTAACGGCATTAAAAAAATCACTAGCCAAGGTTTGTTTTACTATAGATTTAAAAGTTTAAAGCTTATTTTGTATATTTTAAAAGTTTAAAATTCAAGACAATTTTCAAGCAAAAATTTAAGATTTTAATTGGTCATTAACCCAAAGCAATTTGACAAAGCTTTATTTATTAGTTAGTTTGGAGATGCCAGAGGCAAAGTCGAGCTAACTCGATTACTGACGCCATTCGCTCACAGCCCTATTGTAAACACCCCCCCCCTAAAAAAAAGTTAATATACAACTAACTGGAGATGATAATGAAGGGAAAAAAAATTGAAATTCTTAAAACCATCAGCCTCCCCTGTCACCGAAGAAATGGATCAAATAGCTACAATTGCAGCCCAACGGCCAAGTCAAGCAGAGCTTCTACCTGGTGTATTGTCCGTTGCTTCTCTTGTTGCTTCAATCTATTAGCAACAGATTCAGGATCAAACCCTGGATTATTATGCACTTCATCTTGTTCAGAACGAACCTCTTGCAGCAATGCATCCACCTCCCTTATAAAGTCCACCCTCAAAAGAACATCATCATCTTCAACTGGAGGTCGTATCGGCCCTTGATGCTGAAACCATGTGAGATTGTTTACATATTAAGAAAAACTAAGTTAGAGATAATGATAGTGGGTTTCAGTCAAATGTCCATATGAATTTAGAGAGTAAGGCAACTTAACATTCATAAATACGTTGAGACTCACAAACAACGGCTTTTCTAAAAATTATTTTTAGAAACAAACAAAAGCTACCAGACCTGAACATGACTTGGTCACAAGTCTGAACCATGCAATCGATCCGTCCAACATACCTTCTCTATATCAAATCCTTGTGGAACAAGAATGCTAAATGGATCTTCTCGCGGAAATGTATCGACCATAAGTTTTTTACAATTCTTCAGCCACTCATGTTCATTAATGCCATCATGCATAATCAAAAGGTCATTGAGCAACCTCATTGCAGGAGAAGCCTCACGTTTCAAGATCTCAGTCTGAATTATAAAACAAACAATGGGAACTCACACAAAAGGAAAACAAAGAGTATCAAGTTTAAATTTGTGCAGAATGTCATAGTAAAATCAAGGAACCAAGCTGGCCATGAAAATTTAATATAAGCACCCCTAAACAACCAATTGAAAGAGCATATCTTACCTCAACCCTTCTATATAACAGATCCAGGCTTCTAACAGCATCCTTTTCCTCCTGGAAGGAAAAGATCATGCACAAAAGGATTGTAAGAGGGAAAAAATGATAGTAACTTGCACTAGAAATAGACAAATAGACAATTAACAAACTCTATGATGTATCTCAGATATTTCCCCTCAAATTGTAGCAATTATTTTAAACAAACAACAGCTCAATAACTTCATGACCAAAGATTTAGAATGTAAGGCATCTACAGTCAATGCCACTTCTTGATCCTGAATCAATATTTTTAAATTTCAGCATAAGATGAAATCCCACATAGAAATTGATTGAAACAAATAACTAGGTAAATTTAGATGCTAAAAAACCAACTTACATCACGTCGGGCAAGATCAAGGCGATTCCATATGACCATTAAAACAAGTTCGGTAAGTTCTCCTTTCTCAGCAGCTTCCTCAATTTTCTACAACAGACGATTCAGCCAGTAATTTAAATATTTGCCAACAGCAGCCTGAATTTTCACGAATTGAAACATGCACAAAACGATGCAAAATTAAAGGGAAGAGCAGTGAACTATATCCAGAATGATGAAATATTCTTTACAATATTACAGTCAAAAGTGCAAAAGGTGCACATCTTATCAATAAATAAGCAAGCTATATTTATCACTGAAAAAGGCTTATGATTGCATGGGGAAAGAATTTAATTAAGAAAAAATGTTAAAAATGCTATCATAAAGTGGAAAATTCCAGAAATGATGGACTTGTTTCATTTTATTTCTCTCTAGCTTCTTTAAGATCAAAGAATTAAATCAGAAGCCAACAGGATATATTCTTCCACTCCCTCTCCAAGAAGCAAGTTATAACGACCACTATAATAGACTAGATGGCTGCTAACCAGAAAGTGTGTGCATGATTTTAGGAAACAATTCATGACATCAAAGGGGGCCTATGCTTATAGCATTACCTTCACATGCTAAGCTCACAGCATGCAAGATGCAATCATTGTTACCTTCACTTGGTAGGTATTCAGATGCATTCATTGTGAGTTGAATAAAAATACCACCTCATGATGAAATATATTAACCACATAATAAGTAGGATGTTGATTTGGTAAGTGTGAAGCAGTCACCTCTTCTACTTCTTCAGCAGCTCTTATAAAGCTTGAAACCAATTTCCGAGCTTTTATGACATCTTCTTCTGGATATTCCTTCAACCGCATGCCAATTTCACGATATTCCTCAATTTTGCTTTCTTCCTCCTCCTCTTCCTCCTTGCGTAATCGCTGCAACTCCTTTGTCCTTTCACGTTGTTGGGCTTGCCATTCCTATCCTATAGAAGGTTAATGCATTCTATCCAAATAGAACCCTCAACGGCCTTTTATTTTAAATTTCACAAGACAGCATATAAGAAGCAGAGAAACACTCAGGGCAGTGTTTTTGTAATTATATTCATAGACCATGAACAAAAAGCCTCTACAGTACATTCATATATCATCATTATTAAACAAAGAACAATATTAACGACATCAGAGCTATGTCAGGCTTCTAAGAAAAGAAAGAATTATATGTTTGGCCAAGGTAGTTACTAGTTAGCATGGCCAATAAAAAGAATGGTAGTACAAGCACAACCTAGATTGACACATAAAACATTAATTCAAGATTAATTGAAGCAATAGAAATTTTATTTTGGAATTTAATAAAGCAACTTTGAAGAAAATCTGCAAACGGAACTAGAACATCTAGAAAACAAATAGTGCTATATGGGTATTTTGAGTACAGAAAAACTAACTGTAGCCTGCAAAAGGCTGTGATATCTGATAAACTATCTTAAATCAATTCAGATGGCAAGATTTGTCTCACAAAGGCAAAAGTGGCAATCATCTCGGCTAAATCATTAAAAGCAATAAAATGAAAGAGAGAAAGACCTAGTTCAGCCATAAATGGCAAGGACATCTCATCTGACAGAGAAACCTGCATACATACATCATCATAATACTCTTTTGGCATCCCTTCCAGTAGTACCTCTTCCTTTTCCTTGTCCACGCATCTTCTTAAAACTGTCAGCAAAACCCAGAGACTAGTGAAGACTCATGACAAAGAAATCACAAGATGAATAGAACGAAAAATAATCAATTTTGAAAGCGACAGACATCTGGCAATTACTAACCTGGGGTTGATGTGTATTTGCAAGAAAATGTAGGAACCCTTACAAGGGATGAACATGAAAAAATTGATGGCAAAAGCCAAGGGCACGGAAGAGCCAAGACTGTCATTCTCATCCTTTCTTTGAGGTGAATTCAAAAACAAGGAGAGTAATTAGCAGAGAAAGAGTAAAGAATGCAAACTCAGTCAACAAAATGCCATCAAATTCATCCTTTTCCCTTCAATTCCACCCTAGCTCAGTGTCCCGTGCATGCTCACTAAATCAGAGTGTTTCCTGAATGATTAGCATTCCTCTAATGAACATAAACATTGAACTTGAACTTTTGGTGCATTTTATTTGTAATTTTACTAATGGTGTACAGGGTTGGGCTAAGCATCACCCTGACCTAGTGCTGGGCGTAGGGTTTGCTTGATGATTGATAGATTTCCACGACTATTTATTTGTTACCATTATGTTATGTTTATATTTACACACACACCTCCTGCCATAGGCGGACCCATACTACACCGATGCCCCCACTGAAATCTTTGAAATATGCATAATTGATATAATGTCATCTTAATTTTTGTTCGAGATACTTTGACACAACTCGAGTCAAGTCATTTACAAGATCATACATCACAAGTACCTTGAGAATTTCCAAATTTGATGATAATATGAAAAGATTGATGAACAGAATGCCAATACACAACAAGTCCAATATTGCAAAATATATATATATATATATATCCAAATCATACAAGTCGCTAGTAATCAAAATAAAGAAGGAAGAAGTATAATAGCCAATTACACACTATTCAAGCAAAAACTAGTACAAAAAAATAAACTCAATATGAAATATTCCCCAATCCAAAGGTGTCAACATTCAACGATTACACGACCAGATTCAAAGCCAAATTAAAACGAAAAACTTAAAACAAAGCAAGAACAGCGGGAACAGATGACGCGGGGAAAAATTCAAATCTAGACTCAAGACACGAGATTGAACAAATCAATTTCACCGGATTTTGGGAGCAGAAAAAGCCCTAGGTTTCGAGCCTTCTTCACTGCTTGCCCGAGAACAACCACGCAGGGCTGACAATGGTGGACGGCTTCCAAGTTCCAACAGAATATGGGATGTTTGTTCGTCGACTAAGAGAACTGGATCCGCTCCTCACGAGAAAGGGTTTTATCAGGGTTTATAATTATAGGTGGCATTAATTACTCTAAATAATAAAATTTATCTTATAAATTTATACCTAACCTTTCTTCCATTGTGTATTTTTAATTAAATATTACTCTCAATATAATAATTATTTATTTTTAAATTAATATTATTTTTTACATTTATTTATATTTAATAAAAAATTTTATTTTAAAATAAATATAAAATAATTTAATTATAAAAGTACTTTTAAAATAATAATAATTATTATTATATCTTAAAACACTAAAAATATTTTATATTTTTTTAAATTCAACCTCTTCAAAATATTTTATATTTTTAAATGAAATGAGCATTAATTAGTGTTAAACTTGTGGGTATACTAAATGTACTTTTTTTATTTTTTTAATTCTCATCTTTTCTAATTTTCTCATACTTATTTTTTTGTTTTTTGTCTTGTACCATGTTGAATAGAATTAAATGAGACAAATGAAACTGACTAAAAAAATAAAGTTAATAAAAAATATATATTAATACATAGTCTTATATTAGAGAAATTTTTGTATGAATATGATGCACCATATTATTTATATTCTATATAATAAAAATACATTATTTCTTCATACAATTATTCATTATTTATGTGATGAGTAGGTAGGATTACATTAATGGCAAAGCTCTCCAACAAGTATTTCACATAGTTATATACTTAAGGACTTGAACTAGAAACTACTAGTTAAACTAGGAAATACCAAAATTGCACTATTTTAATTAAACAAAATATTATGTGTAATTATTTTTAATCATTTTATAATAGAGTATTTTTTTTAATTTCTTACATTTTCTCTCTCTTTGTCATTGTCAATAGTAAAATTAATTTATATTTATAATTGTCTGGCATGACATATTTTTATTAAATAATTTACAAATTATGTGATACATTAAATCCAAGCCTAACAAAAAAATTCTCAATTAGTATTTTCACATAATACAATTTGTTTCTAATTTTAAAGTTACAAAAACCATATGCAAATTCAATAATATAAAATTATAAATTTAGGAAATAAAGTTGTAAATTTTTGAAAATATTTAAATAATGTATGTTAGTTTTTAAATGTAATCATTAAGATTTGTATTTTTTATTAAAATCAAGAAAACAAATTGCAAATTCAAGATGACAAGATTACAAATTAAAGCAACAAAGTATAAAGTTATTTAAGATAGTTTAAACAAATGCAAAAGGATAAAGTCATGATCGATAAGAGTTGGACAGATGGTGTTTATTCATGTGAGGATAGAAAACAAAAAAAAACTAAAAGCAACCCTAACTCTTGATCATCTCGATTAAGCATCCTCATGACACATGACACCATCTCGATCAACCCTCTCTTACTTGACAGTCAGCACCACTCTCCTTCCCCTATCTTAAAACCAAAATCAGAGTTCAAGCAACATCTCTATCGTGTATTTAATATAATCACAAAATCTATATCTTAGATCCAAAGTTTTTATTTTCTCTGGTAGAAAAAAGAGGGGAGGAATGGACATAGGTTTCAACTTTTATTTCAAATTCTTCAATCTACTAAGAAATTCATCCAGAAAATTCTACCTCCAGGAAAAGAAACCCAACATTGAACATTGCATAACTTCATTCTCAAGAGAGGAAGATTAGTGTTTAGCCATGGTGAGCAAGCGGGCTATAAGAGCAATAACGCCCATTTGATGGAAAAACAACAAATGATGGGTCTTCTATAGTTCTGTTGTTCCTTTTCATGGTGAAAAACCAAAAAATAATCAAACTGATGTATCCATGGTAGATAATCAATCAACTAAGAGCCTTATCCATGGCTTCCCTTTCTAGCTTCAATGCAAGAGACTAACACGACCAAGATGAAGCACCTATAAGTTCCCTCCATGTTATCTCCATCTAAACCGTGTTGATTCCATCTATGGTCAATAGCTTCAACATTGCCTGCAAAAACCAACAAGAATGGCGAAAGAGAACCCAAATTGTTAAACCTCTTCATCTACATGGAATCAATAAGGAAGAAGAAGAGTGCCGATCAAGATAGCGTCGTCTATCATGAGGTGAGAGGAGGGCTCAGGACTATCCAAATGTTATTGTTTTGAGAAAATGGAAGGAAATGCGAGGTAAGAAGGTGGAGACACTTTGTGCCTCACAAAAACTATGAGATATAGTGAATGGTTAGGATTTCTCTACATACATCAAATCCTTTTCATCCCACATATGCATTAAATTAGATTTTTGATCATTATAGTTAATTATTTTAAAGGGAGAATTTCCAACGCCGTTGCAAATATATTTATTTGTGAAAAGATGCATTTACCTAAAATGTATAAGTTTTTTATGTACATGTATAATATAATTTTTATGAATAATATGACAAGATCCAAAAATGAACAGCACATTATCTGTTTATTATACATATCATGTGTGCTTAAATTGAATAATAATATTCAAGTTTTTTAAGTGTATATATAGTACAATTTTCATAAAAAATATGATAAAGTTCATACATGAGTAGCACAATATCTTTTTATTACACATAGTCCATGTGGTTAAGGTTAAATGCATTTTTCCTCCAAGAAAAAAAAATTTATACTTGGGGCTCTTGGACTGATAGAGACAAGTGCGATTTTTCCCCTTCTAAAGGTAGATATGATTCTCCCTGTTTTAAATTACATAATAAATTGGGTTAGAAAATCCAAATTCATCATATAACAAAAGGCTAGTTATTCTCCACCAAAATTCTTTTGTGCTCTTGGAATAATGCTCCAAAAAAGAGGAAAGAATTTCTCTACGCAATCTTTATATTTCACAATATTCATTTCTGTATTTTAAATTTAGTAAAAATCAATTAAAAACCTCTTATTCGTGATCTAATTAGTCTGCCTTTGGTTAACAAATAATAAAGTGAAATTATTTAATATAATATTTATTAGTAATTCTTATTTTTAATATTAGTTTAACTAAATATATAAAAATTATTGTCTATATTAATCATAAATTTTCGGTAAAATTTTAAACTATAACTTGAAATCGAAGATTGGGCTTGAATGATCATTTGCGCACTGACAAGACAAAAATCCAGTGATTGATTTCTTTTTTTTTTTTTTTTGACCATGGAAGATATAAATCTTGGTCGTCTCATATAAAGTATAAAGCTTTTAATTGATCAATTAATAATTAATTATGAAGTGTAGTAATTATTGATTATTGAAAGGGCATATTAAAATATCGTTAACGAATCTGGGTAACCGGCTGAGCCAGGCTAAAATCCCATTCTTCATTTGACTTGTGTGGCGACCAAGTTCCCACGATCCACCGGCTCGTCCGGTTGCTTTATCAAATTCACCGGCTACTCGGTCGCATGCCCTCTCTATTGTTTCTGCCTTTCTCTTCTCTCAGGTTCTTTTTTCCTTAGATTCTGGGTGCTTCTATTTGGTTCTGCTTCGTGTCCAAGCTCCTCTTTTCTTCCTCCTCCTCCCCCTCATCTTCTCCAAGGTACCCCCTTTTCTTCCATATCTGTGCTTCTTATTGTTTCCTTTTGCTTGGGTTTCTGTTTGGTTGTTGTGAAAAGTCAAAGCTGAATTTTCTCAATATTTTTTGTCATTTTTTCCCAATAATTTTAGAGAAAATGGTGAGTTGTGATGAGAAAGGTTGTATATTTGTTTTTGTTGCTCGAACTCTGACTCTCTGGCTTTCTTATATCCCCATTTCCCCACCCTTTAAACGTTTCACTGTGGATTAGGTCTATGCTAATTGTTGTTGAACTGTTTATCACCAGCTTCTTTCTCTGGATTTCCTCTGTATTTAGTTTCTTTTTTCTGAAGGAAGGTCTCTTCAATTTTGTTTGTGCATATGAATTATGCTGTGGCTACAGATTACAATAAATTCTTACTCTCAATGAAGCACTGATATTTTGATTGGTGTTCAACACTCCTGTTAGAAGCAAAATGTTACCTATGACATATTTAAGCATGATATGTTTTTTCATGCTATGCGTCCAAATTAAGATCAGTTCTTAACTCTAAACATGTGAATTTATCTATATTCTGTTACACTTGAGCAGCTAGGTGCTTATATAACATGTCAGTGTATTAATCAATCCTCTTTGGGGAGAATTTATTCAAATTGACCTAATCTTGTAACCAATCTTATTTTAACGTTATCTATGTGTTCTCCCTTTTTTATTTGGTTTTTTTTTTCTAACAACTTCCTAATTCCAATTCAAGAACTTCAACAATGAAGAGTGGCAAAGGAAAGGGAGCAGTAAAGAACTCCAGGGAATCATTGAAGCCCGTTGATGACAGGTTAGTTCATAGTATCATTGTACTTAATGTAAATAAAGTTGGGGCATTCTCATTTCATGAGTTCGTATTTTCTTATCCAAAAGGATGAAGGTTTTTGCTTATATCTAAAAGTTTATTTGTATCTGATTACATACACCTGATGGTGCAAACAACTGTTACAGGAATATTGTAGTGATGGAACATATATATCTCTATTGTTTTCAGAAAAGTTGGAAAGCGAAAGGCTGCAGCTAAACCTGACAGAAGTAGCAAACGGAAGACCAAGGCAAAGAAAGATCCCAACAAACCAAAAAGACCACCCAGTGCTTTCTTTGTCTTCCTGTTTGTATCTCTGTCTTTGATCCTTTCTCCTTTTCCTGCCATGAAAACTGAAAGTATTTGAACTATCTCCATCTCTATATGACAGCGAGGAGTTCAGAGCAACCTTTAAGAAAGAAAATCCTAGTGTGAAGGCTGTATCAGCTGTAAGTTACAACTTAAGTTTCTTCAATTACTTACTGATATATGTCCTTATTGAATGACCATCCATGTTGCTTACTCTACTCTTTGATTGAAGGTTGGGAAAGCTGGAGGAGAGAAATGGAAATCCATGACTGAGGCTGTAAGCAGTTCAATCTTGGATACATAATTTCAAATTTTATTTTTATTGGGTTTTCTTTCATCATGTGATAATTCAAATAAAACTTTTTTATTAGATTTTGTATAGATTATAGCCTTATGCAAGTGTTTCTTAAAGTGAGTTCTGCTGTATCTGTATCCAGTGACCTTGCCATATTGATGAAGGGATTTATTCTCTTACTGATTTAAATTTTTCTATTAATCTCAAAGGAGAAAGCTCCATATGAAGCCAAGGCTGCGAAACGGAAAGCTGAGTATGAAAAACTTATGAATGCTTATAATAAAAAGCAGGTGAGCACCTAGCGTGAGATGGTCTGTTGTTTTTGGTGTTTTTGTTTTCATTGTTCATAGGTTCCACTTTCTATGATGTTCCCAGGCAAGCACAGCGGATGATGGAGATGATGAATCAGACAGGTCCAAATCTGAAGTTAATGATGAAGATGAAGAGGTAATCTCTTTTCTTTCTTATCTATCTTTTCTCTTAATAAGCTTGTTTAACAAGCTTTATCTTTATAAATAATCTTGATTTTTGTTTTTTTCGAGCATGATACAAGTGGATTTGTAAATTATTTATGATATGTAGCTTCTTTGATCTCTCTAGATACTTGTTTTAATTCTGAAGGGGAAGTAAAAAGAAAAACGTTAGGGAGCATGAACGTTTTTTGGCCTAATGAATTTTGCATATTTCTCTCCCTCATCCTAAAAAGAAGGTTTCTTCTGTAACTTTTTCTTGCTCCATAATATCCGGTACCATGTAATATGATGTAATGGCTTGTCTTTTTTATCCTTGTGGTTTACTCTCATAAATTATCCTGGAGTCATGTTTTAATAGACTGGGTTCATTGCCTTTCCATTTAATGAAGTTTATTTTCTTTTCTTAACATGAGGTAGTTGAAAGTATCTTTTATTTAAGACGGGAAGGAGTAACTTTTTATTCTGGGAAAAAAACTTGGGTATAATTATCAAGTACATTCTATTGCGTCCTGCATCAAACTTGATGTGGTTTCTTGTGATGACGAAAGCTTAAAACCATACTGTTTGGCTATTTGCCTGTGTACAGGAGGCACACCAAGAGGAGGAGGAGGAGGAGGAGGAGGAAGATGACAACGACGACGATGAAGACGACTGAGATTTGTGCCTTCAATTTGAATAATGATGTTTCATTGGTGGAAGTCTATTATATATGCTGTCTGTGCATTCTAGTAGGCTACTTTTGAATGTTCTGTGCAGATAGAGAAGAACTTGCCTTTCACTTGAGCCTCCCTCAGGTGTTAGTTATTGTACTCTAATGTACTCTTTTAAGATCTGTAGCCTGAAATGTGTTGGCGTCCGTAGTAACATGTTTTCCCTTTTTGATTAACGAATTAGTACTATCAAGCTCCACCTTTGTATAAAACGAAGTTGATATGAATGAAACACCGTTTTCGCTTCACACAAATGGTTATCTTGTGATAGAACTTACTGCATATATATAGTCCCTTACCTTCATATTTTAATGTCCTTTGTGTTTTGGTTTTGTTTTGCAAACCAAAATAGACAAGCAACCACCGCCTCATCAACCAACCAAACCATTGATTTCTTGTAGTTATCTTTCAGGTTATATTAATACAATCTTTTGCAACGGTCGCTAAAATAAAATAAAATAAATATCACATTTTTACATCTGAATATGAATGTTATGTCAAAGAAAAAAAAAATATCTTTTTTTATAAAAAAGAAAAAATATCTTAAATACAAACCTGAATAGTTTTTATTTTTTAACCTTCAAAAAACCTAAGTAGTTTGATGATAGTATAATGCATTATTTTAAAATCAAATCACGTGCTTCAATTAATTTTGTTGCCACTTAATCATTTAACTAGCATCATTTGATTTAAATTTAATATACTTCTATATCAAATTATAAGATTAAAGATATTTTGTTATGCCAAAATACAAGATAATTTAATAAAAATAAAATTTTATTAATAATATTTTTTAAATATTATCCTGAGAGAGAATTAAAATGATTATAATATAATAATTAACTGTAGATTTAATACTATATTCAATAAAAAGTATTTTTAAAAGCTTATACTATTATTATTTTAAAAAATTAATTTGTAAAGTTTCATTATTGAGATTTATTAATATGCATAATTTTACCTCAAATTGTCTCATAATATGAGATGAATTGAGTAGAATATATGGCTAAATTGTTATTAAAAAAATAATATATGACCAAATGGATTTGAATGTTTTAAAAATAAAAATACTCAATTCGTTTGTCTTATTTCCACATGACGTAATATATAATGATATTGATAGTGGCATAACAAAAATGGAAATATCCTATTTTCCCATTCAATACCGAAGTAATAAAAATAAAATACAAATCCTCTAAATAAGCAAGGACTATATACAAATCTTTAATCAAAGTGTAGCTGATTCATAACAAGGGATCCTAGCTCGGCCATTTGTGTGTTGGAGAAGCATCTTGCAGACTCAACAGAATCTGACTAAATTACTAAATTACCCCACAGAGCAGTGGGAGTTGCAAGGCGAAGACACAGAAAAGCGAACGGCAGGCAGAGACAAGACCTCGGTGACAGCTACTCATAGAGAATGCTCCTAACATATTCGTAAGTTATAAAACCTAGACTATCAGCAGAATATGTCTGAGAATCAAACCCAGAAAATGATGGAGGGATGGTGTGTGGGATTTTCAAAGGACAAGATAGTGCAGGCAGAAACACAATGATGTGGCTTCCATGACGGACCAACCATAGCCCTTGTATGAAAATTAAAAGAAAAAGGACTTTACATTTCAGCTCTGTGATTTCATTGGAATCAAATCAAATGGGTATAGCATTGAACTGTGACTCCCAAGTTATATACAGCTTGAGAAAAGAACAATAGAGAATTTTGAGCATTTGCTATCTAGTTGTTAAACAAAATTATCAACACCTTGAATGATATAGAAACTTTTCCAACTTGGCACAGCTCCTTGAAATGACATAATTCTATTGAAGAAACTAATAGCAAATACCTGAAACTACATCAACCCTTTTTTTTTTTTTTTTTACCAGAAACCCGAGGACAAACTGAGAACTATGTACCGATGTGAGTTTTGAAGTTCGGATTAGCTTGCTTTAATTGGCTCTCTCACCAGCGGACAGGAGGAGACATGAATATTGGATCTGGAACAAGAAGAGGCAACTTTTCAATGTACATGAATAACCTCTTTAAATTCTCCTTTGTGATTGAAGCCATGTCATCTATCTCATTGTTGTTCATGTAGATCCAAAGGTCACCAGAGTTCACTCTTTTCAGACTGTCCCGGCAGAAAGGGCAAGACTGAGATCGGGCATGCCTAAACCAGTGGCAGTATTAAATGCTTTAGAAGCGAAGCAACCATCAAAATGACAAAGGAAATCCAATAGCAATAACAGTAAGTGGATATAACTGAAACCAGTATGCAAGAATATGATAGCAACAAAAGACTGGGTATGCCCATCACTTTTTTTCAAGATCTCTTGAAATAATAAAAAAAAAAAAAACTATCTTTGCTAGCGATTAGTAAGAACTAGATTGCTTTGAAAACTCAATAGAATGTGAAGGTTCGCTCAATATGATACAAGGCTAGGTCAGAAGCATAGCTTTGCCCAAAAAATTGAATTGCCCAAGCATATTTCCAAAAAGGCAGTCCTAAATCTTCTGCTCAGTTTACAAAATCTCAAGAGCATGTCTTAAAAGGAAACTTTGAAAGGAAAATCTCAAGAGGAGTAGATTCTTTCTTTAACATACAGTTCTCTTCTTTGGCTGAAATAGGTACAATAAATTGGTTTTATTCTACACCCTTCAATGTCAAAAAGAATATGTTGAAATGTTGGCATTGGTCCATATCTCCAATATCTAGATTCTATCATTTAGATGAGTCAATTCTTTTTATTGAATTGTTTTAACTTAACAACCTTTTTATCATCGAAAGGATTCCCCTGGTTACTGACAGTAGTCCAAGAAAGATCTAAAATGTCAAAATTTGCTTACCAGTCTCGATAACATTTCATGCACATCGAGTGATTGCAATTAGGCAATACAATCTTGCTGTTCACCTCCATGCAAATACCACATTCTTCCTCTCTCTCTATGTCAATTTGAGAATGCTTTCCTTTGCTTACTACAGGTTTTGAGTTATACTTAGTAGCACATATTTCTTTTTGTTTTCTGTCTTCTACATCAGTAATTCCTCTGTGGAGTTGCAATAAAGAGGGAAAGATCACACCTGTCATTAAAGAAATTAAAGGCAACCACATATATATAGTCAAGCATGTCTTCACAAGAAAGTTATAAAGCCATCATAGCACACTTATGAATAAACGACACAGTTTAAAGCATTAGACAGTTATTTTTCAGTACGAATATGCACTTACAATAGAACTCCTTCAGACTGGCTTTTCGCTCATAAATGGACATTGTTGTCTTACCATCCTCGTATGCCTGTAACAAATCCAAGGTATTGTAAGACACTAGCATTTTACCATAGTATCATTTTTTTTTAATATATAACGGGCTGTTTATATTAACAAGGCATAGAAAGTGGCGAGTCTAGACTCTGGAGACGGATATAGAGTAAAGAGGCAGAAAATGCACCTTGTATATGAGAATTCTAAGCAATCCCAAGGCTCCAGCGAGGTGACAATCAGTCCACTGAACCAGAAAAAGAAACAATTGAGCTGCTGGACTGTAGGACAATCTCATTTGTATGCAGGCACCATCATAATCTCTTGGATAATCAGAAGCTCTGTGTCACACATATTATGTGAAATGAAAAGGTTTAAAAAACTATAAGAAGAAGGGACGTTATATTCTTCTTGACCTTGAGAAACGTGCACCATTAAAACACCAACGCAGTAATATAGAGTATAAATAGATGAAATTCATAACAAAAGGTAATGAGCACTCAAATTTTAAACAGGCAAATAAAAACTTCTTTATCTCCTTAATGAGGATGTGAAACCAAAAAGAAATCCTTAATGAGGTTAAAGCCTAGTTTCCCTACTAAATACTTTTATGAATGCTCGTCTTCAATATTGGTTTGTAAAAAATCATTCAACTCAAAAAAGCTTGGGCAATCACGAGAAAATTGGGAGTGACACCAGTTATATGGTTTGTCCTTTCTTCTACTGGCCCAGATCAAAATTCAAACAGATCTAATATTTGTATAATAGTCAAGTGCTTCGCTCTTTTTGAGGACAGTTACATAATGCCATCATTCAAAGTTCAAACAACTCTTTCAAAAGGAATAGTAAAATTTGCTGTGGAAGGCGTTAAGAAATTAATAAGAAGGCTAAACAATCCAGAAGGAAGATCCTGCCTGTTAACAAGTATAACCACAGCAAACAATTAACTTATGCTTCCTCACCGCAACTATTTCAGTCCCCAAACCTTGATTGCTTTCTCTTCTTCTTGCTCACCAAATACCTAATCAAACCGCACCTCATTCCGCTTTTTTTCCCCCTTTAAAAAAAAAAAAATCATTCTGTATTCGAGCTAGGTGCGGAGCCGTAACTGGTCTTTTAAATAGCTTAAAAATTAGAAACCAATTTCTAATTTTAGTTTTAACCCCATAGCACGCGATGGGGGAAAACAAACAGGTAAGATTTTCTATGACGTTATAACTAGGTAACCACCAATCAAAGATGATATCAGAAAAATTTTACACCCAAGTTCACAAGCCATAATCCAAAAACACTTAACAGTACAAGGGACCAGAATCTTCCTCAAAGTCCCAGAAATTTTCATTTGGTATGTCATCCAAAATCACAAAATACAACATGCATATCGAATTCTTGAGGGAGGGAGAAGAGAGAGAGAAGAAGAAATTACAGAGTATTGGCGAACTGGATATCAGCTTCAAGAGCTTTCAGGGAATCCTTGAAAGACTTGCGCATTTTTTCTTCTTCGTTTCGTTATTCAACAAAATCCCATTCAGAACTCAAAAGAAGACGATATTCTCACTAAAACTGGTAAAGCCACAACAGAGCCTCGAAATTGCATGATCCCAAGCGTTAATTCTCGTTTTCCGGTGAAAATAATCCCACGAAAGAAACAAAGGAATCGAATTCGGCAGAAAATTTGGCTGTGAGAGAAAGAGGGAGGATTCTAGGAGTGAGGGAGAAGAGACAGAGAGTGGGATTTGCTGGGCTTTCGCTTACAGCACACGTAACTCTTGCACACACCTCGTCATCTACTAATCAAGTCACAGTCTTCGCTAAAACTGCACCGAAAGACAGTAAAAGATCCGGAGATATAAAATATATTCTTCAATTACGCAAATGCCCTTTCTTTTCCTCGACATTTGTTGCAACTTTTTTTCTTTTTTAATCCCCTTTTTTTTAACTAAATTCAAATGTAAAAAAATTATCTAGCATGACATGATGATCATTATAGTTCTACCCAATGATTTTCAGTTCATATTTAATAAAAGTATATTTTTTAAACAAAATTTAATAAAAATATGTTTAGAGAATTCAATTATTTATTAGATTTAATAAAAGTATATTTCAAATATAGTTTGAGTATACTTTTGATAATTATTTAAATAGATCCTTAATTTTATCTATATCAATGCTTAAACTTGGACACACATAATTCAAAAATTAATATTAAAAAAATTTAATGTTGTGACCGTTTTAAAAATAAAATTATTATTACAAATAAGCTTTTTTTACAATTATAATTACAAATAAATTAAAATGCATAAAATCTCATTAATTTTAAAGTGATTGCATATGATACCTTCATTTAAACGTTTAAAATAAACCCTTTAACTTTTAATTTTAATTTTTAAAACCCTCTACTATTAATTACTTTATTATGTTATTAATAAAATTTGTCATATCAAATCATGAAAAGCCGTATAAAAGCTTAGTGACATTTTATATAAGCAAATAATAAATGGATCAAAATTATATTATTTTTTAAATATTTACTTTTGTATCAATTTTATCCATTTTTTAAATCAATGGTGTATAGTTTTTTTTTTTTTTTTGCATTAACTGATAAATTTTTATTTACATGATTCTCATTAGAATGATGAGGCCTACTATTGAATATTCAAAGGATGTAGTCCAACTGCGAGCCCATTCTACAAATTTAAATGGAGCACTGCATTTATGCAAGGGAAGATTTAGCATTATTCCCATTTCTTGAGTTCCACGAAGCACTCTCTCCTTAATGCACACAGCATGGCGCACCCTTGGTCACAGCTAACACGAGCAATAATCAGCACCTATTGGCGCTAAATGCAAACTTCAAATAAGAACATGTCATTGCCATTTATTATAAATAGACAACAAACACATAATTAAAGGGCTTTTCACATTATCAAATTTATCCAATATTTATCCAACGCAAAGTATTCAAATGCTGAAATTGAGTAATCTGCAACCCCCCTATGAGATCTACCCTCTTTGTGTAAATCCTACTCTTAGGCTAGTTTTTCAAACATGTTTACTTCTCTATTCTTTTGAAGCACTTTATTGTATTTTGCTTCACTAAGTAATTCCAGTGAGCTTTGCGCTCATTTGTAGTGTACCCACCGCCATTGCTCTTGCATGTCACTTGACTCTCTAAAAAAATTGCAATAAAAAATTTTAAGAACTCTTTTAATCGTATGATAGCAACTTAGTCTTTGGAGAACATGTTTCTTGGCACGCTTGGCATACTCAAATACCTAAAGGGTTGTGACGTTCTGAGCCCTACATCTAAAACTGTGACGAACAGCAACTTTTAGATATTTTCTTTTTATTTATTTAATATAAAAGGCTTTGTTAATTAATAAGAAAAAAATAAAATTATAATTTTTCTCTTAAATTGTGTTAACAATAAACAATGAGAACAAAGTCCTTTAACTTAAAAAATAAGAGTATCATCATACGTATCAAAAATAAACATTATAGTTTTGCTCCTCCCTAAATTGTATTAAAAATTAATAAAATATTTTTTTCATATCATGCGTTATGTATATTTTATAAATCTGACATGATAAACTCTCTTAATAACATAAGAAAGTTAATTAATTGTAGAAGGTTTCAAAAAATAAAATAAAATAAAAGGTTAGAGGACTTAACTTTGAATGTTTAAGGTGAGGGGGTCACATACATCTACCTTAAAATTTTAAAGGTTTTATGCAATTTAGTTTTATATTTATTACTAAATTCAAAATCTCTCTTTCTATATATAAGTAAGATTAGCTTCAATTTGCTTCATGCAATTTAGTGTTTCAAATGCCCTTCCTTACAACTCAGTGCTTTGAAAGTCAAGTTCGGCTGTTGATTTGCAGAAAGGTTCGGACAAAATTTTTAAATATTTAGTTACCATATCTTCTAAATAAAATAAATTATTTTTATCCATCTCCATCTAGATTTAAATCTTTAAAATTTAAATTATTGTGAAATATTGGGATTTGAATCACAAAGATTTAATTTTGAAGTTCCATAAAATCCAATATTCTTAAAAGGGTAAGATATTGATTGCTTCTAGTGTGAAGTTTGAAATTTAAAATTATTCATATTTTCTAATTAAATAATACTATTTATATTTGTTGATTAAAAAATAGTATTAATTAATTTAATGATGATTTTTTTATTAACTAAAAATTTTATTTAATTAATAAACATTGTAATTGAAATTCAAATATGCGACCGAGTTACTGAGATAAGTTAAAGGCGAAAAAAAAATGTAAGGTGCAAGAAATTATCACAACCATACATCTTTGATAAAACTAAATAAAATACCCATGCAGCCTTTATTAAGAAAAAAAGTACACGTGCATCAACGGGTTTTTTTTTTTTAAAAAAGGTAAAATTCATTATTTATGACAATTTTTTTTAGCAGAAAAATCTACCACAAAAGAATAATGTATAATATACACACTTTTCATATTATCCTATACATGATAGAGACATTTAGTTATCGTCAATAATATTTGATTATATACAAGTAACAAAAAGTAAAGAAATGCATTATAAACATATAATATGAAATATTAAGAAAAGCCGTAATTCTTCAGACTAAATTATCAAAGATTTCCCAATAATTCGTTTGAAGGATTCATTATGTATACAATATGGAAAATGTGTCCATGGCAAATTATTCTTTTAGAAAAAAGTTTCCTCCTAAAATTTATCATAAATAATATATGTCACCTATTTTAAAAAAATATTGCATGTGACCATGCATGTACTTTACTGGTTTATAATAAAAAGTAAAGCTGTATTGTGTATTGCATGGATTCCAAAATCAACTATCACATTGATTATCATTTATATATTATATAAATTTTTTAAACAGTTGATAATATTTATAAAAAATTAATAATAAATTTGATAAAATAATATTAACTTAAACGTTTGAAACTAATTTTCTGGACAAAAAAAATTGAAAGTAATTATTTTTTTAATGCTTCCCCTATCTAATTTTATAAGACCTTCATTTAATAAAGAAATAAATATTTTAGTGAGAATTCGGTTTTAATACAATTTTCTTAATATATATATATGAATATGTGTGTGTGTGTATGAATATAAATATTGGATAAATTGGCCCATTAGTCCAAAAAAATGTCATGTCCAAAAAATTTGGACCAAATTTTTAAAAATTTAAGAGTGTGGGTAATTCACATAGATATAAAAATGTTTTATCATTGATATACAAAAGAGTTATCATTAAAAATTTAAAAATTTTCAAGAAGTTTATCATTGATATACAAAAATATATAATTAACAAATATAATAAATTAGTTATAATATAAAATATAATAAATGTTGAACTATTTGATTGTTTTAGTCTTATAATATGAGTTATATCTATAAAAATCTCATAAATATTTACAATCACATTAAAAAATGACTTTATGAATACTCAAATCATGAGCTAGCATCATGGCAAGCTTTAAAGCCCAAGGCTTCAGTTACTAAGGTAGATAAAGATTTAATATTTAATGCTCAAAAATTTCATTAATGTTAGTAGCATTTTAAAATTTACTTATTATAATTTAATTAGACAAAAGTATATTGAGCATGTAAAGATAAGTATTTAAATCCTTTCTTTTTGATATACTCTTAGTAAATTGGTGCTGAATATATTGAAAGATACTCCCCTTTTTTCTTTTTTTACTTTTTTACTATAAGATAAACTATTATATATTGTTTATAAGTGAAACTACAAAATTCAAAAATCATTTACTCCTACCACTCAAAAATATAATACAAAATATTTTTAATTGAATCACACTCTCCAATAAATTAACTAATTTTTTTAAAACTTATATGATCATTTCATATTTGTCCTTATTTAATAGAGTGTTTTACTTGCATGTAAAGAGTTGATTAGTTTATTTATTAAGGGTATTTTTGAATAAAAAGAACTCATTGATTACATGTTGAAAAAAATATCTTATATTTTTTAATAAATGAGTATCACGTATTTTTCAAATTGTCCATTATAAAATTAAAGTTTATTTTCATAAGATAATCTTGTTTCATTTATTACAAGAATAATTTAATCTAACATTTTTAATTTCAAACATAATTATCATACTCTCTTCATTTTCAAATGTAATAAAAAGCAACAAACTCTAACCCTTTAAGAAAGTTTGTTATGTATGATAGTTATGTTTGAAATTAAAAATATATTTTTAATGGCCTTAGTTCAATTACTAATGAATCTTGCAATAATTAATTTTTTTTATATAATTTTTGTAAGTATTTATGCGATGAGGAAGACTAACTTAACCTGTCTTCTATTTTCTTTCACTAAGTCAAGAAGCTTTGCAGTTTTATGTGCTAGAGGATCTTATCACGTAAAAGAATTGTTATAAAACTAAAGTAAATATAAATAATTTGACAAGATCCAAGGAAGAAGCTTATTAAAAATATAGAGAAGATCGATGAGAGAAAAAAATTTTCATTTTAATTTGATTTAAATGTACACACAAAACTTTACTAATGAAGTTGGGTCTAAAGGATTAGTTAATTACTCACACCATAATGAATTAATGTTTGAATCTTCACAAAAAAATATCTATATTTAATATTTGATTGTGTTTTGAACATAATTACTTTTAATAAGAAGAAATTTATGAGCAATAAAAAATATCTATAATAAAGAGAGTAAAAATGTATTCAAAACTTTAAAATGCGCCGTACTTTTTCCCAAAAAAAAAGTGTGCCTTAATTTACAGAGCCTCAAATTGTTACTCTC